AAAATGAGAAGAGATAAAACTAAATTATCTGTGAAAGTCTCTTAACACTCCTAAGATTCAATGATCTGTGACACCCAAATTCAATTTGTGGTTCATTTATTCTTTTTTAAAAAGTGAGGAGGGTAGCCAAGTTTTCAAATGAATGCCTCTGTAATTTGACCAAATTCAGTGAATTTGTGATTATGAACTATGGTTAGAGGATTTCATTGAGAGATCAATATACAGCTCATAGAACCTTGTTTTTTATTTTGCAGTTGTAGATATGTGCTTTTTTCCCAATAGACTACAACTCTCTAAAGATAACAACTTAAGGCTATTTCTTTGTGTATATCCCTTACCTCTGCTTTTCTAGTGTTCTTCTGTTGATAGTGGGCACTCAATAAAAGCTGGTTTAATTAATGTGTGTTCTAATGCTTATATGCTCATCTAGTATTAAAAAATGTTAATTTTTCTCATCCTTTTATTCTGAAGCAGGGTTAGAAAAGGAGTTTCTACCCTGAAAGAGGTATGGTTCCTAGAACTAGGAACACCTACATTTTATTTGTACCTATATTTATTACTGTTCAAAATGTTTGCAAATCACCGTGGAACTTCCCAGTTCCCAGATTCCCTGCCAACTTGAAAAGCATATTCTCCTATCAGTTATCCCTTCTGACCTGGCCCTATCCTGAAGCATTTCTTTATCACTTTTACTACAGTAGAGTAAGATTTAATTAATACCAGGACTTTGTTGTCCTTATTTCTCTGTGATACATCATATGTATTTTTCCCTGAGTAAGTTTTGCTTTATCTTGGGGGGAGGGGAGGGAGGGGAGTGATATACTGAGAAAGAGCCTGGTGTAGTAGGTAAAAGACTGGCCTTGGAATCAAGAAGATGAGGTTTCATATCTTGCCTCATACACTAATGTACTATGGCGTACACATCATTTGACCTGTTGGTGCTCCCAGTAACTGTTAAAGACTGCATACTTGGTGGATGTCTTCATACTGGGGATTCCTTACACAGATGAAATCAGTGTTTAGACAAAACATATACTGTAAATTAAGACCCTCAGAGTTAGTAAAGTCTTCTCCTGACTATCCTCATACCCTTTTAATCTTTCTATTTTAAACATTATTCCTCCATTCTTTTCTCTCAGGCCCTTACAGTGGTCTTTCTATCTCCCTAGAATTGAAAGAAGTAATCATTTTTCTAGCTCCACCTCCCAACTGCTGGCTTTGTTTCTACAGTCCACCTTTAGGGGACTAAGAATAAACATGGTAGGAAAAACTGAAATTAACAGATCCATTGTCATTTTCTGAGTTGCTGTCAGTGTCACTGCCCTGGTTAGAAAAGGTTCATTGGGAAGTGCACTGACTTTGGAGTTAAAGAACCAAGATTCAGATCCTGCCTCTGACACTCACTGCCTTTGTGACCTTTGGCAGGTAACTTACCCTCTCTGGGTTTCAGATTGCTTATCTGTGAAATGGGTTTAGACCATATGGACTCTTAGCTTTGGTTCTATGATCCTGTGATTCCCAAAAGCCCAGGTGGTCATTCTTGCATTAGTCCTTGTGGATTAGTCACCCTTTTAAGAGATACCTGGGGACAGCTAGGTGGTACAGTGGATAGAGCTCCGGCCTTGGAATCAGGAGGACCTGAGTACAAATGAGACCTCAGACATTTGACCCTGGGCAAGTCACTTAACCCCGATTGCCTTACCAAAAAGCAAAAAAGAAAAAAGAGAGATACCTAGCCTGTGTCCTCTTTGACTTCACACATTAGTTTATTTTTTTAATATAAATTTATTTATTTTTAGTTTTCAACACTTCCACAAGATTTTGAATTCCAAATTTTCACCCCATCTTGCCCCTCCCCCACCCCAAGATGGCATGCATTCTGAATACCTCTTCCCCTAGTCTGCCCTCCCTTCTCTCTCTCCCTCCCCCTTCTCTTATCCCCTTCCCCTTCTATTTTCCTGTAGGGCAGGACAGATTTCTGTACCTCATTTCCTGTGTTTCTTATTTCCCAGTTGCATGTGAAAACATTTTTTTTTAAACATGTGCTTTTAAAACTTTGGGTTCCAAATTTTCTCCTTTCCTCCCACCCCACCCACCCTCATTGAAAAGGCAAGCAAGTCAATACAGGCCATACATGTGCAGTTATGCAAAACACTTCCATAGTAGACATGTTGTGAAAAACTAACTCTATTTCCCTTAATCCTATCCTGCCCCCCCAATTTATTCTATTCTTTCTTTTGACCCTGTCCCTCCTCAGAAGTACTTCCTTCTGATTACCCCTTTCCTATCTGCCCTTCTCTCTATCATCCCCCTGCTCTCTTGTCCCCTTCCTCCCCTATTTTCCTGTAGGGTAACATAGGTTTCCATACCCAATTGAGTGTGTATGATATTCCCTCCTTAAGCCAAATCCTATGAGAATAAGATTCCTCATTTCCTCTCACCTTCCCCTGTTTCCCCTCTACTGTAAGAACCTTTTCTTGTCTGTTTTGTGCGAGATAATGTACCCCATTCTACCTGTCCCTTTCTTCTTCTCCTAGTATAACCCTCTTACCCCTTAATTTTATTCTCCAGATATCACCCCTTCATCTTCAACTCACCCTGTGCTATCTAACTATCTATCTGTCTGTCTATCTATCTATACATACATACATATAATTTTTCCCCTCCCACAATCCTAACACTGACAAAGGTCTTATGAGTTATAAATATCATCTTTCCATGCAGGAATGTAAACAGTTCAGTCTTAATAAGTCTCTTATGATTTCTCTTTCCTGTTTACCTCTTCATGTTCCGTTTGAGTCTTGTATTTGAAAGTCAGATTTTCTATTCAGCTCTGGTCTTTTCATCAAGAATGCTTGAAAGTCCTCTATTTCATTGAATAACCATTTTTTCCCCTGAAGGATTATACTCAGTTTTGCTGGGTAGGTGATTCTTGGTTGTAATCCTATCTCCTTTGCCCTCCGGAATATTATGTTGCATGCCCTCTGGTCCCTTAATGTAGAAACTGCTAAATCTTGTGTTATCCTGATTGTGTTTCCACCATACTTGAATTGTTTCTTTCTGGCTGCTTGCAATATTTTCTCCTTGACCTGGGAACTCTGGAATTTGGCTACAATATTCCTAGGAGTTTTCCTTTGGGGATCTCTTTCAGGGGAGATTGGTGGATTCTTTCAATTTCTATTTTGCCCTCTGGTTCTAAAATATCAGGGCAGTTTTCCTTGATAATTTCTTGAAAGATGATGTCTAGGCTCTTTTTTGATCATGGCTTTCAGATAGTCCTATAATTTTTAAATTCTCTCTCCTGGATCTGTTTTCCAGGTCAGTTGTTTTTCCAATGAGATATTTCACATCGTTTTCTAATTTTTCATTCTTTTGGATTTGTTCTACTGTGTCGTGATTTCTCATAAAGTCACTATCTTGTAATTGCTCTATTCTAATTTTTAAGGAAGTATTTTCTTCATTAAGCTTTTGGACTTCCTTTTCCATTTGGCCAATTTTGCTTTTTAGGGCATTCTTCTCCTCATTGACTTTTTGGACCTCTTTTGCCATTTGGGTTAGGCTATTTTTTAAGGTGTTATTTTCTTCAGTATTTTTTTGGGTCTCCTTTAGCAAGCTGTTGACTTGTTTTTCATGATTTTCTTGCATCACTCTCAGTTCTCTTCCCAGTTTTTCCTCTACTTCCCTCACTTGCTTCTCAAAATCCCTTTTGAGCTCTTCCGAGGCCTGGAATGGATTCATATTTTTCTTGCAGGGTTTGGATGTGGGAGCTTTGACTTTGTTGTCTTCTTCTGGTTGTATGTTTTGATCTTCTTTGTCACCAAAGTAAGGTAATATAGTCTGACTGTTTTTGCGAGGTTTGTTCATGATCCCAGCCAACCACTCGAGTTTTAAACTCTTTGTTAAGGTAAAAGTCTGCTTCCAGTGTGGAGAATGTACTGTCTCAAGCTTCGGGGGTTTGTGTAGCTGTTTTCAGAGCTACTTCTAGGGACCTGTAAATTTTCAGTTCTTGCAAGGTGGTATGGTAAGGGTCGTGATGTTTACTCTTTTCCTGGCCTGTGCTCTGGTCTTTGAGTGACCAGACACAAGCAGTCTTTTCTCTCTTGGAACTGTGAGGAGGGTTTCCTCTCTACCACCACTACAAGCTCCACCGTGCCAGAGCTCCTCCTCACCCCAGAACCACCACCCAGAGCTGTGACCCAGATCCAGGCACCGGCAAAGCAAGAGATTCCTGCCTCAGCACCGGCAAAAAGATCCCTGCAGTCCCCCTCTGATCAGCCACTCAATTCCCCCTCAGTCTATGCAGCCACTGCCCCGGGGTCCGCGCTCTGCACTCTGGAACTGGCTCTGACCCAGCTTTTCTCTCACCCAAAAAACAGACTTTTCCCATTGACCTTCTAAGTTGTCTTTGGCATTTGTGGATTGAGGAGTCTGGAAACCACCACAGCTGCCTGTGATTCGTTCCTCTGAGGCCTGCTCCAGGTTCACTGCGGCCTGCGCGCCCACGCCAAACTGAGCTCCTCTTCCCAGCCGGTGCGATTGCCTTTCTGATCAACCATCCAGGCTGTCTTGGGCTGGAAATTTGTTTTACTCTGTCTTTTTGTGGGTTCTGCCGCTTCAGAATTTGTTTAGAGCCATTTTTTTTTACAGGTATTTGGAGGGGTTTGGGGGAGAGCTCAAGCAAGTCATTGCTTTCACTCCGCCATCTTGGCTCCACCCCCTTCATTCATTAGTTTAGAGGGAAGGGACATATGTATAGTATAATTTATAGTATGTCTTATTTTTTTAATGACATGATATGCGTGGCATTAAAGAAGAAGCATTCCCGTCTGCTTGTCCCCAGCGTTAGAATGTGAGCTTCTCAAGAGCAGGGCCTGTCTGATTTTTCTATTTGTATCCCCATCATTTAGCATGGGGCTTTGTATGTGGTAAACTGCTAATAAACACTTCTTTCATCCATGAGTTAGTGTATGATAATTTGGTGTTTTTTGTTTTCCTTTTAGATTTTTAGCAAAGAAAATCAGAAGATCATAAGAAATGCAGAGTGAATTGGTTCCAGTTAGCTTGTCTGAGGTAGAGAATATACCTTCTGTTTCATCAGATAAAACCACTGGCTGTACATCTGCAACAAAAGGCTCCACAAGCTGTTTTTCTGGAGATGAAGAGAGTGGCTTAGACAAAGATTCTAAACTTCTTCCATCAAAAAAAGAGATGACTTCACTTATGCTTCCTGGAGGTGATCAAATTGAAGCACAAAAAGTTTACTCACCAGATCGTAGTGGAGTTGGGAATTCTTATGACAAAGCAGACACACATGAAGAAAAATCTCAGATAGTAACTCATTTTCCTGGTGGTGATTTTGCAGAGCAAGTGTCAAAGACAAATGGAACAGAACAAACACTAGCAGAAATATTGCAAGAATTAAAATCATCTAAGCTTACAGAAACATCCAATGAAAAGACTTATTCAGAAAGTCCATATGATACAGACTGCACCAAGAAACTTATTTCAAGAATACAGAATGTTTCAGCACAGGAAGATTTGTTGGAAGAAATAGAATCAGAGCTGTTATCTGCAGAACTTTCAAATGAACATAGAGTACCCAATGGTATGAAAAAGGGTGAACGTGCTTTAGTTATGTTTGAAAAATGTGTGCAAGATAAATATCTGCAGCAGGAGCATACTATAAAGAAGTAAGTATTGACTTACCCTAAAATCCATTTGGCCAGTTATCAGAGAAAGAAATTTTAAATGTAAAATTAATACTTTAGCATTGAAGACCTGTTAGTAGATAATTTAGTTCTGAGTCATACATATTCATTAACTATCTTGCATTTTTATAACATAACTTTATCAAAACTTTTCTTAGAAAAATGTCACACATATTTAGTTATCCATAGAAAAAACACCAATTAGAATTTCTTTAGCTCTTTCATTTTATTAACTGAGATCTAATCCAAGAAATGCAGCTCCTTAATCTGAAGTCTTTAAAAAACAAAACAGCCATCCAGAGAATGGTACTATTTGAATTATGTACAAATTCATTAGTTAGGAGAGTAAGTTGTTTTCCCTTGTACTTTCCCTGTCTTACCACTGTTTAAAATCATTTAATTACCTCTACTAAAAGCCTATTCCATGTCTTATGGTGTGGAGATAGTGTGCTGGGTTCTCAAAGGCTTAGACGATAGAGTACAAGTTCTAGCAAGACTAACCATGCCTAAAAGGTGATTAATTGTATGCTTGTTATCCAAGAACTCATCTAGCTAATTTTGGAGAGGCTCATTACTTTTTGCCCATAGCAACTCTCAAAGACAAAATAAATTGTGATCTGTGTTAGTGGATACCCACACCAGTGAAATGACATGCGTATACCTGAAATATTGCACTGTAGAAATAACTCTGGAGCCTTAATATTCTTGTAGAAAAATGACTAAATGAAGTTAAATAGTAGAAAACATCAATTTCTAGAGTAGAAAATATATACTGTATGTTTCCCTTTTGACGTTGAGAAAGTGAATTGGAGTAGGGTGCAGGACAGTTAGAGGAACAGCTATAAAAATAAATATAAAAGGAAAAAGAAGGGAACCAGGTGGGGATCCGTGAGTTAGTAACAGGAAGGAGATTATTAAGTTTACCATAGGCCAAGTTTAATATCCTCCCAACTGTTTCTGTTTCCTGTCATTTCTTCCTCTAATGAATCCTTTACATCCTCACAAGATTAACCTGCTTACGTCTTAGATTTTGTTATATTATTCCCTTATAACTTTTCCTGGAAACAAAGGCCCATCTTTTTAATACCAACATTCAACTGATGTTGTGTGGCTGTGAGACATGGAACTCAAGAATCTCTGAAGAACTGAAAATGACACTGAGGGCCTTGGAGAGGTTCATGATGCGTATGAGCAAGCTGTAGTATGTAACTAACTAATGAGAAACAGAAACACAGGAGTAAAAAATGTCATCAGGGAAATGGATGGTAGGAAGAAAAGGTGCGCTTGTCATTTGGCAAGGTAGAAAAATAATAGCCCAAGTGTTCAGTTAGTGTCCTCATGATGTCAGAAGAAAGTAAGGATCTGTAATGCTAGGTGGACCCCTTATGACAAATTTATGGAAGATGCAGGCATGAATAGGTTGTAATCTACATTGCTAGAAGGAATATCCAAATCAGTGGGTTTGCAAATCCATTTTTGTGTTTACTCTTCTACTTTTGGTTCCTTTCTGCAGCAGCATTTCTCAGACTTTTTGGTTTCAACAACTTTTTACATTTAAAAATTATTCAGGACCCTAAAGAGCTTTTATTATATGGATTATATTTCTAGATGTTTGTCATACTAGAAATTAAAACTGAAAATTTTTACAATATTTATTAATTTAAAAAATAGCAATAGCAAACCCATTGCCTGTTAACACATATGACATTTTTATGAAAAATAACTTTCTCAGAACAACACTTTAGTGAGAAGAGTGGCATTGTTTTACTTATTTTTGCAAATCAATTTAATGTCTGACAGATGGATTCTCAACTTTCTGCATTAATCTGTTGTGAATGTTTTGGTTGAAGTATATGAAGAAAATCTGACCTTTACCCAGATATATTTTAATAGGCAAATAACATCCTAATTGTATTATGAAAGTAGTTTACTTCACAGACCCCTGAAAAGAGTCTGACCCCCAAAGGTCCATGGACCAAAAGTTGAGAACTTTTGTTCTATAGGATAAAGTTCTGCCATTCAAGGCCCACTGTTATTCTGACGCCTCTCTTCCCGCCCCCCCTTTTCTAGCCTTATTTCCTACAGTTTCATAATATATATAATATCATAGCTAAACGAAAACTACTTGCCCATCCTCCTGCAGGTCATGGATCTTTGCTTTGCTGATGCGGTTTCATTCCCTTGGAATGCCCTGCTTACCTTCGTTTCTGCTGTGTAAACCCCATTCATTTTTTTGACTGTTAAGATGTCACCTACCTGTTCCATAAAGCTTTCCTTGATAATCCTGATAGGAAATGATCCCTTCATCTGATTTGATTCTCCTAGGATTTTGGTCATATTCATCATTTGCTGCACTTGGGATTTATAGCAAACTGTCTTATACTGTTTTTATTTGTATTTATTATTCATACTTTATCTCTTTTACAAATTTTAAGTTCCTTTGAGGCTAGATTCTGGCCCCTTTTATATTCCACAGAGGACCCCGAATAGGACTGACTGTGTCTATAACAGGTATTCAATAAATGTTTACACTAATGTTTTTATTTTGTAAAAAGTTTGATATAAATTAGTTAGGAATAATTTCTTCAATCTAAAAATAAGAATGAAGTAAAAAGAGAATTACCCCTCCGGCTTATTTCCAGGAAACCGATTTACTTTTTCAGTCTGCTTAATTTTGTCTATGCAGAGTATTTCGAATAAATTTCTTCCAAGATAATTTGCTTAGTTATTTGTATATCACCTCTAAAATTGTTTAACTATATTAGCTGTCATTTAGTTCAAAATTCTTGATGATTTTTACCATTATTTAAATTTTTAATTAAAAATATTTTTCTGCTATTTGTATGTTAACTTAAAATTGAAAAATCTCTGATTTATTGCTAATTTTCTTTCATTGGGCAAATTAACATCAGTTTTCTTAAATCTCAATGAGAAATCTTTAATATAAGATGCATATAAAATTTAATTGTATTAACTATGAATAAGATTAAAAAATCTCAGTCCCCTAAAAATTGCCTTAAATTTTAGCCAGTGTTATTTTGTATCATTATTTTCTGGTATAAATCAGTTCAACCAAACCACTTGTTGCTTATCTTCCAAATATCCAATGATACACACACACACACACACACACACACACACACACACACACACACACACACATGCACGCACGCGCGCACGCGCGCACATGCTTTGAGTCTTATTCTGTGCTTCTTGATCACATATGTCATTGATTTTTGAGATTTGACCTCTATTACGATAAAGAGCTGTTGGCAGAATTAATTTAAAATTCAATTTAACAGATATGATAGATCTACTTTTCTTCTGTAATACATGGTTCTGTGCTGGGTACTAGATACAAACAAAAAACCAAAAGAATCCTGATCTCGAACTTGTGTTCTATAAAACAAACTCACCTTGACTTTTGTTTTTCCTGTCTCTAGGGATCATGTATAAAAATGTTTACATTTCAGTTTTCACCATCTTCGCATTATAGTCATATAACTACAGTGGAATATTATTTAGCAATACACATTTTTAGGCACATATACAGAAAGAAAATGAAGGATGCAATTAATATTCCAAGTAATGTTACTCAGGGGCATATGGTTTCTTTTGTGTGGTCATATCATAACAATATTATTAACAACTCATAACTGTCCACTAAACAAGCCTGCCTGATTTGCTTTTTGTAAAATTCATTCTGCAAATATTAATATATAATGATGTCCTTAGCAAATTTTGTAAATGAAGTATGGGGTGTAGCTAATAGGATGATTGAAAGACAGAAATTTTGCGTAATTATGACATAGAAATCCACACCTTAAACATGTACTTTTGCAGCAGTCTTTATCTTTTTGGTTTATATTTTGTCTATTCTGTCCTTTTTATATTTAGGTTAATTAAAGAAAACAAGAAGCATCAGGAACTTATTTTAGAAATTTGTTCAGAAAAAGACAACCTAAGAGAAGAACTAAAAAAACGAACAGAAACAGAGAGACAACATATAAATATAATTAAACAGGTAAAAGGCAAACAAATAGCCTTAAAGCCATAGGCATATCTCAGTTTATGCAATAATAATAAGGGGTTTTTTGCTGTGTTGAGTATGTAGAGGGGAGTTTGTAATGTGAAATGATCTTTTTAGTGAATCAACGAGTCTCATGCTCCTCCAATTTTCTGTATGATAAAACTGAATTTGTTTTCAGATTTTTCCTCATTTTTCTCAGATGAGAGGTCCACCATTACTCAGCTAGATGCTTTAGAAATGAGAGGACGTAAGAGGTAATTTGATTATCAACTCCTGCTAATCTAACTGCTAATTGTGGCAGAGTAATGATATAAAAACACTGATTTAAACATTTATGTTTTAGAATGCATTTTTGTAGTGATATCTAAATATAATGCATTAATTTACTGTTCAGGGTGGATTTTTTAAAGTAATAGTTGTAAAAAAAATTATGAAGCTCTATCTCAGAATCGATTAATTGGCTTTCTGAACTCTCTTCTGCCTTGGTTCAAGCTCTTCCGTGTTCTGCCTGTTATTGTTGCTGCTCAGCACTGGGCAAAGTTGTTCTTGCTGTGCTTGTTTCTTGTTCTCTCCTTGGGAGAGGGCAGGAGCACATGAAATATTTAAAGCTTAAGTAAAACCTTTCTTTTTCTATTTTATTTAACCTCATAACCTGGCATCTTAAAAGGAAATAAGAATAGATTTTTTAAAAAGTTACTGATTTTTTGCTAATCTGGTATAGCTAATCTACTTTTGCATAAATGTGAGTTAGCTATAGTTACAAATTTTTATTTACTTAGATGTGTATTCCTCATGGTTTAATTTTGCCCCATGAGAACTAGACTTTAATGGACAAGCTAAAGTTCTTATTTCTGTTAGGATTTTCACGCTGTTGATTAGGAATTTCACACTGGCCAGGTCGGAAAGAACCAGGACTGTTCTTTTTAATGAATTCACTGGAAATTTGACCACTTCCTGTCAAAGAAAACTGAAGTAGCTTCATTTTTGTTAGCATTTTGAAAATCATGCTAGTGACTAGAAAACTGATGATTTTTGGTAGTTTTTTTTTACATTAGTATATTTTTTAACATTTACTGTATAAAGTGACTGATATTTATATAGGCTTTGAGGTTTAGAGTTTACATACATTCTCATTTGAGCCTCGCAATACCTCTGGGGTACAGTAGGGATACTTTATCCCCATTTTACAGATGAAGAAACTGAGGGTCAGAAAGCACAAACTAATAACATTGCATTGCTTTAATTTTACTTTTTACATCTAGACTATTTAGTGTAGTTTTTCCCATATAGCATCATTTCATATTCATTTGTTTAAATATTTATGAGAGTTTAAAATAAAACTTTAAGCATAATATGGAAACATTTGCTTTACAGTTAGAAACAAGAATAGAGGAACTCAATAAAGACATTAACATTTCCAAAGAAAAACTTGTAGTGCAAGATACTGCAGCCAAAAATGCGATTCAGCAATTACATAAAGAAATGGCTTTTCGAATGGAGCAGGTAATTTCATATCATTATTGTTATAAATCTGGTATCCTGGTGAGTATGTTTCATAAGTAAATTAATATCTTTAAAACAAGAGTATCAGTAGTGCATGAGAAAAAAAAATTAATGAAGAATTTGTTGATGCATTTAAATAATGGATTACTTGTTCAGTGCAGTCAAACATATTACTTTGTTTTGAAGCCAGCCTGGAGGGTACTGTCTACTTTTTCAGATGAACACTATTCTAAAGAGAAGCTTAGTCTGTCTTATTAGTTCTAGAGTTCTTTATGTTATTTTGATTCTGTTCCATTTTGGAATTAACTTTAAAAGTCATATACTAATGGGAGGCAGGTCATTCCCTCTACACTTAACCCTAACTTAACTAGTAGTCTCCGGTTTCATCTTGAACACTTCCAATCTTGAGGAGTTCGAGGTAGTCTGTTTTTAGCTTTAATTATTTGCATGTGCTTTATATTGAACCAAAATGTGCCTACCTTTAACTACTATCTATTGGGTCTGCATGCATTAGATTCTCCTTCTATGTGACAGTGCTTCAGAAATTTAAAGAGCTGTTTTGTCCTCCCTTTTCCTCTTTTTCCATGTTGTTTGTTGTTGTTGAGTTGTTTCAATCATGTCCAACTCTTCATGAGCTCATTTTGGGATTTTCTTAGCAAAGATACTAGAATGGTTTGCCATTTTCTTCTCCAGTTCATTTTGCAGATGAAGAAACTGTGGCAAGCAGCATTGTCCAGAGTCACACAGCTAGTAAGTTTCTGAGGTCAGATTGGTTTCTGAGGTCAGATTTGAATTCAGAAAGACACGTCTTCCTAACTCCAGTCCTGGTACTCTTTTCTTTGCACCACCTAGCTGCTTCTTATGTAACATTGGTTTTAGACCCTTTACTATCTTTCTGTCCTTTATCTTAGTAAACCTTCCTTTTCTAAGTGATAACAAACTTGTTTAATAACCCACCCTAGTGTTTTTTTAGGAATTGACAGTAAGATAGCTAGTCTAAACATTCTGAAAACTGACTCAAAAAGAAAAAAAAATTTTTTTCTGTCTCTGTTCTTTTGGCACATCTTCCATTCTCTATTATTTCTTAGGGATTACCATCCATGGTTCCGGATGACATATGCAAACTTTCAGTACCTTAAGATGTAATTTGTCTGAGACTGGAGACTTGAACTCATTTTAAAACTACTAGATGCACTCTTACAATCTCATTTATCTTGAACAGCAGTTTAATTTTCTTTTTATTATAGTCATGTAACTGTAGTTATATCAAAGATGAAAGCAAAATAGGAGTTAATAAATTTTCCTTTCTCTTTATCATTTTTTTGAGGGGTAGAGCTAGGCAGTGGGATTAAGTGACTTGCCCAGGGTCACACAGCTAGTAAGTGTCAAGTGTCTGAGGCCGAATTTGAACTTGGGTATTCCTGATTCCAGGGCTGGTGTTCTATCCACTGCTCCACCTAACTGCCTCTTTCTCTATCATTTAACATTACACTATCTCTCTCAAGTAGTGGATCTCTATATTTCTTTTTCTTTTTTTCCTCTGATTTAACTTTAAAAAGTCTTAGCCAAGTCCTTGGCATTTTTGTTAGTTTAGCTCACTCAGGATGTTAATCTTCCTGAAGCTTTTTTTTAGGTCCTTGTTATCTATTTATATTTCTGTTACATGTTTCTCAACACTGCTCCTTGTGCTTTATAAGATGTTGTCTGTTGAAAGGAGCACAGTGTTCTCAGATCGTAAACCATGATCTAAAAGTCCATAATCTGTTGTGGTTTTTTTTGAGGCCATTTCTTTGGTTAGCTCTTCGCTTGCCATGTATTCCTTTCTTTACCAAAGTCCCAATTCTTGACTGAAAGAAAAGAGGCAGGAGCTACCTGTGTTCTGAAATCCTTCAGTTTCCTAACAGACTCACATCCCAAGAGGTTCAGTTTGTTTCTTGTTACTATATCATTCATTACTACATGAAATAACAGAAGTTGGTTTTGTTGGTTTGATTTAATCAGTCTTAGAAAGCTTCACATCACTTGGAAATTCTAGGAAAATATCACATTTATATTTAGCTATAATAGTTTATATGTGATTCAATCAGTTAACATGTATTAAGCACCTACTATATTCCAAGCACTGTGCTAAGCACTAAGAATAAAAATAAAAAGAGAAGACAGTCCCTTATTCCAAGGATGCTACAATCTAATGAGGGAAGACAGTACACAAAAAGTAAGCCGAAAAGTGTGGTAAAGGAAAAAGGTACTAGGGGCTTGATGTTTTGTAGAGTGGAAATAAACAGCTGCTGATCTGGAAAGTTCTAATCTGAGCCCTCTATAAAGGAAGGCTTTGGGAGGAATTTGTTACTCTTCTCCAGCCCTCCAGTCAAAGAGGAGAGGGAACTGGGGGAGTTAAAAAGGTATTGAGTTTAAAAAAACTGAGTCAATCAGCGTGGTACTGAGATTTCAGATAATTAGAATAACTTTATTATGTTTATGTCAAATTCCACATGTCTAGCAGAGATGCTGATGGAAAATGGAGAATTACCATGCAGGCACTTCTTAGTGGCACTTCACCAAGGGATAAAAAAAAAGATCAGTAATGTATCTTCCAATCAGGTTTAGTTACAGGGATTCCTGCCTATGGGTCTTCCTTACTGTTCTGTGGAATATAGGATATTGCTTCTTTGTGTTATATAGCTCTAATAGCATAAATTCTGCTTTTTCTTTGTCATGTCTTAACAAACTCTTGGCTCTGATTTTGATTTTTTTTTTTGCTTCTTACATTTTTTTTCTGGCTGGGTTCTTTCTTGACTGATTTCTTTCATCCTTTCTAGCAATCTAATCTTCTGTAATAAGCAGAAATATAGATAGACATTCCTTTTCTTCCTCTGGTAAACATTTATAGGTAGGAAGGCAGGAAGACAAAGGAGCATATAATGCGGCAGGTCACCAAAATAGTTCCTTCCAGTTCCAAAATATCTCCTAGGACTGTGATTGAATTACAGTCTTTTGTGGCTTCCCTGATAAGCTACTCCATAATCTGTCAGATGATGAATATCCAAAAGTTAGTAATATAAGATGTATATTTAGTTTGGGGATGTTTAATTACAGTGCATTTTCAGATGATTTAGTCTTCCATTTACTTTGTATTTAGGGGTAGAGGTAGCTTTGAAGTATGCTAGATGCTTTGTGAAGGAGAAATCTAGTGTGAGATCATGACTGAAAGAATGTTCTATAGGTGCTTGAAAATTGTCATTATGCCAAGTTATTCCATTATTAACCATTTAGCAAGCATTTATTAAGTGCCTTCTATTTGTCAAGTACTGTGCTAGACCCTGAGGCTAAAAAGAAGTGGAGCAGTCCCTGTTCCTCAAGGGACTTAAAATCAATGTCTTACACCTTTTAAAAATTGTTCCTGAAAAGTTACCTAGAAAATAAGTTTTTATATGTTGTAACATGATGACTCCATTTGTAAAGATGATAGTGACCTAATATTCATTTTTGAAGATTGGTGTTTTCATTTACTGAATTTGATTTGGAGCATACCCTGAATAACAAACACTTTTTGGTGACAGTGTAGGCAAATAGAAACCTGAAGAGTAACTTTGTTATGTTTATCTCAAATGCTGCATGTCCTAAAATAGAACTATCTCCCCAGCAGACCTGCCCATCTATCAAACTTAGCATTTCTATCAAACATACCATCATTCTTTCAGTCTCAGGTTCCTAAACATAGCATCATCTTCGACTCCTCACTCTTCCTTACTAACCACGTCTCCAGATAGTTGCCAGATTTTGCTACCTCTTTTTCACACAACCACACTTTTTTCAGGTGTCCACTTCTCACACGGTTCATTGCAACAGCCTTACAAAATTGGCCTGCTTGTGTTTATTTTCTCCTGATTCCATTCTATCCTTCACATACCTGCCAAAGGGATCTTCCTTAAATATGGGTCTGACCATGTCAACTACTAGTGGTTCTTTATTGTCTGTCAGATCAAATATGATCCTCTTTTAAATTCTTTCAGAACCAGTCCCCAAATTATTATTGGACATTATCCCCCATCTCCTGTCATTTTCTTATCTCATTTTTCCATGTATTTTCCCTGACTATACTCCAGGCTTAGAATGCCTTCCCTCCACTGTTGCAGCTTCAAAGAATCTTTCTCTTTCAAGATAAAACTTAAGCAGCCCCTTTTACATGAATTGTTCCTTGACACTCTCCCCCCACCAATGGCTACTGCCCTCCCTCCTAACTTTGTAAAGAACCACTTCATGGTTTTTCTTTTTACGTACCATAGATACTTGTATGCTTATTGCCTCCCCCATTAGAGTGTAAACTCCTAGAGAGGAAGAGTTGTTTGTTTCTTTGAATCCTCAGTTTTCACAGTGCCTAGTACATATTAGGTGCTTAATAAATGCTGGTGGGTTGAATGATACAGATATTATCTGATTCTTCTTCATATTATAAACTTATATTTGGAACATCACATTTTTTGTTACTAGTCATACTGAATTTTAAGTCATTACTTCATTGTTTAAAGTATCCATTTTATAAAGCAAAAGATAACAAAACTTTTAAGATTTTAAGCAAAATTGACTATAAAATAAATGTACAAAATGCAAGTCATAATTTCCTTGATTAATTTCCATTATAAAATAGAAGATATTCTTATAGGAAAAAATTTCTCAGATTGATTTTTAATTTTTAGTGAAAAATTAAGATAGTAGGCAGACCCATAGTGTTCTAAGGTTAAAATAAATCTACTATTTTCAGAATTTTGTTAGATTTTCTTAACTACAAAGTTTCCCATCCATAATTGGTTAAACCCATTCTTCATATCATAGGATTTAAAACAAGGAGGAACCTCAGAGATCTATCATGCAGCCCCATAAAATATTAGATTTGGAATCAGGAAGACCTGAATTCAATTCCTACAAACTGTGTGACCCCAGATAAGTCACTTAACTACTCTGATTCTCATTTCTTCATGTGTGAAATGGAGATAATCATAGCACTTAACCTCATAAGAGTTATTGTGAGGATCAAATTACATACATATACATATGTCTCATATATTATTTATGTTATATGTAATGCTTTTCAAACCTTGAAGTGATATATAAAATATTAACTATAATAATAAAAGTTATTACCATGAGTCGTTATGATACTACTGTTGTTATTTATATTACAGATGTAATAGGTGGCTCCAAGGTCACACAGGTTATACTACCTATATAACAATACCAGGGAGTCAATGCAAGGTCTTATGATATCAAATATAATGTTCTTTTCTTTTATTCCATTCCCCCCATTCTCTGATTCCATGCTAATTATTTCCAGAATTAGATATCCTTTGCCTACCTGTCAGAATATAGTAGGGCTGTTGATCTCACATTACCCTAAAAATTCCTTAAGTTTGCTTTAGCTTTTATAGTAGAAAAAATGAGCACCCTATCTTAACTCCCAAGTCAGAAATTCTGTAAGAATGGGTTTGCTTTAAAAGAGGGCTGGCCTAAGTATAAAAGTTCCGGCCAGCATCTAAAACTTTCATATGTAGAGCCCACCTAAATGAACATAGAATCAGAGTTGGAAGAGACCTTAGAAATGGTCTGATTTCAGTCCCTTCATTTTACAAAAGAGGCAACAGAGGCTGTTGATGAAAAAATATTAATGGACATTTTTCACACATTTAATCAAGTTGCTATTAAAGTGTATGTGAATTTATAAAGGATGTGTGATTTTGGTAGAGTGAGAAACCGCTGGTACAGAAACTCCGTCTGTTTAACAGCTCCCAATTCATCTTATTATCTTCTGTTTTAAAATTCCCTTCATTTCCAAATTAGTCTTTCCCTCCTCCCAGGACCCTGATTCAGGCCCTTGGGAATTGTTCAGTCATACAGGCAGTAAAGTATTACAGGCTGCTTTTCAAGCATACAGGTACCTCTAAAAATAGATTGCAGAATTGAAGAAAAATGAAAAAAAGTGCCCACCCCCTCATTTGTGGAGAGTGGGAAACAAGGAGTATGGAACATTATATGTATTGTTAAAGTCAGCTGGTAATGCTGCTTTTTGCCAAACTGCTGGGTTTTTTCCCCTTTTTTATTCTGTGTTACAGGAGATGGTTCTTTGGGTTTGGGAGGAGGGAAGGATTAATTTGGAAATGAAGGGAATGTAAAAACAAAAGATATTAATAAAAATTTAAAGAATAATAGATTGCACAGCTCTTCAGGTAAAGGTACTGGGAATGGCAAAGGGAGAAAACATAATATCGCTTTTTTCTGTTGAAAGTGTCATTTAGATAATTTGTTATATAAATATCTTCATGTCACAAATGTTGGGAATAATGGCATACCAAAGTTTTTTTTATATTAAAGTAAAAACTTTGGTATAATGTAGAATATTTAGTCTTGCTTTGATACCTTATGTTAATAAATAGGGTAAATGGAAGTGTCTAATGTAAAACTACTTTTTAATTCAAAATAATATTAAAATAAAGGCAAACAAGAAATGTGAAGAGGCTCGCCAAGAAAAAGAAACAATGGTGATGAAGTACGTCAGAGGTGAAAAGGAATCTTTAGATCTTAGAAAGGAAAAGGAGGGACTTGAGAGAAAACTCAGAGATGCAAATAAAGAAATTGAAAAACATGTTCACAAAGTTAAGCAGCTTTCTCAAGAAAAAGGAAGACTACACCAACTCTATGAAACAAAGGTAGAGTGTTTTTGTACATTAGATAAGAACTTTGCTATTTTTTGCATTTATGTAATTAAGTTATATAATCGAAACTTAATAAGCAGTTTAAAAAAACTTGAATGTGTTTTCTATCAGCCTATCTCCCCAAATTTACATCTTCACTAAGCCAGCATGCTAATCTTATCCATAGTAATTTTAATGTTGATAGTATGAAATACTTATAAGTTTTATCCAGAAAGTGACTGTTTCTTCCTTAGAGCTTTTTACCCCTGTAAATATTAATGTTGTAAATTTTCATTTGTATTCCAAGGTAAAGCTTCTAATTTGATCATTTATAGGAATATAAATAATATCATTCATATGTGACTTTAGGAATTTGTTTAATTAGACCACAATCTCACTGTAGAGCATTTTAGCTATATTCAGCATTTTGTTAATCCTTCAGTGCCTTAGAAAAAAAGATTTCAATATTGATGTGCCAGAATATGGCCTCATTTTATAAAAATGCAATTTCATAGTAAAGACTAACAAGAAGATCATTACTACCCATGCAGTAATTATTATGATGTTTACTTTAACTGGATTAAGTTTTAGTTAAGAAATGTTACCAGTTGTTCACAGAAATTCTAACAAATTTGTTTCATACATCATTTTAACATTTATAATTGGAAAGAAATACAAAGATGTGAAATGTACATACTTTTAACACAAATGTGGATTAAATGTAAATATCAATAGTCATTCTAGTTTTCTAATTTGGAAATTTTGCTGCCCTCTTGTGGGTTGACTTAATGTTGTTTTTTTCATAATTCTCCATACTCAAAGAAACCTGAGATTGCATTCTCAACACTACTGCAGGTAGGTTTGTGAATTGTTATGGCCAAAAACATTTGTCCCCTTGTGGTCAACTTCTAGTGATGTTTTTTGACTTAGAGTCAAAGACACAGAGTAAGTGGCCCATACTTAAAACCCTTTTCAGCTTTTTAAGACTACGTAGAAATAGCAGTTCACTGACAGCTTTCCAGAACCCAGGGGCAACTTCTTAAGGGGGTGTCAAAATGGACATAGAATTTTATTTTACTATATAAAGAAAATTTAGACTTTGAAATTTTTAGGAGATATTTGAGTCTGAGTTAGGCAGCAAAAATTATCACGCCTTATGAAAAGGCTAAAGGAATTTTAAAAGAATTAACAAAGGAATTTATGGTATAATCTGAGAACTTCTCAACTAAGAGTTATCATTACCCTACTTGTTTCATTCAGCTTCATTTTAATAGCTTTAACTTATAAACAATGGGCTTAAATAGTATAGTCTTCTTTCCCCTTCCCCCATTCATCCTGACCACTAAATTCATTAAAGCTCATTGAAAAATTTTTATTTTACCTTGCTATTTACTGACAAGTTAGAGTGATGTGAGGTCCATGAACTTAAAAAAAATTAATTTTAGAACTATATCATAATATAGTTGTTCGTATATATTTTATGTATCTAAAAGCATATTTGAAGAAGGGTTCCATAGGCTTTACTAGACTGCGTAAGGGATCCATGACCTAAAAGGCTAAGAAAATCTGAGTTAGGATAACTAACTCTAGGAACATTCCTATGGTTGATTTTTATATGTATGTTAAATATATGGTCAATAATTGATTGCCTTAAAAAGAAAAGTGAAAACATGAACTAATAGCATTGTATTTTAGGAAAGTGATGCCAGTAGAATGAGCAGAGAAATCGAGAAATTGAAGGAAGATATCAACTCTCATGTCATCAAAGTAAAATGGGCACAAAACAAATTAAAAACAGAAATGGATTCGCACAAGGTTAGTATGATAATGTGGTGGAATAATAGTGTAATATATAATTAAACTTTAAATGTTTTGTCTATCCTTAATATTAAAGACAAATGTTTAAAAAATAACATGACTTCAACAAATCTTCAGATTTATTGTAAAATTATAAAAGACACTAAGCTGCTAATTTATAATCAGATGGCAGAACCTGATAAGCATCAGTAATGTTGTTGGTCAGTGGGAAAAAAAATGTTTAAAGCCATTGGATTAATAGGTTCAATTTCTCCTTAGAATTATTTTATGCAAAATTTTAAATGGATATTTTGACTCCAAATGCATTTGGCCCTTTATCCATTTTCTGATTAGATCTTTCTGAATCGGAAGAGTGGTTATTGAACTTCAGTCACTTAAATCTTGGCAACAATTTTCTGATGGCAATTATTAAAAAGTAGTTTTTAGTGTGCATTTTGAAGTAGAAACCCATGCTTTCATTTGTGAACTTTACTATTTTATTTTAAATTACACTTAGCCATCATATTTTAGAAGATCAGAATTAAGGACATAGCTCTTAAATGAATTGTGCAATTCACAAATTAACTTTTGAATGTATAAATATTCATTCCAATTTTAATTGAGATCTTTGTGAAATTAAATATTAGAATAATGTAATGTTTAAACTGGATGGGGTTTAAAGATTATCTGATCCAGCCCCTAGACAAGGAAATAGATACAAGATACAAGAAATTGACTTTCACGCAGTTTTACAAAACTAATAGAATATGGCAGAAACTGGCTGGGCAAAAATGTAGGACTCCCAGCTTCTCATGTAGTGTTTTTTCAGTTAACTTTATTAGCATTGTTTTTGGCTTTTTGTATTTTTTCATTTCAGGAAACCAAAGATAAACTTAAAGAAACAACAATAAAATTAACTCAGGCCAAAGAAGAGGCAGATCAAATACGGAAAAATTGTCAAGAAATGATAAAAGCATATCAAGTAAGCATTGCTTTTTAACTAGCCAAATAAAGAAAATTAACAATATTCTTTCCTTTTTTTTTTCAAAGCTTTCTGTGCTGGTATTTTACATATTGAATGTATTTCTGCAGGCACTTTCCAATAAAATAAGCTGTACTTTATGTTAATGTACCTAGGATATAAAGTCACACTTCAGAGGATTCTTGGAAAACTTTATTTTTTTATAATTAATTTATTTTCAGTTTTCAACATTCACTTCCATAAGATTTTGAATTTTGAGTTTTCTCCCTCACCTCCCCCCTCCCCAAGACTGCATGCAATCTGATATAAGGTGTACTTATGCATTCATATTAAACATATTTTCACATTTTATACATCACATTTTCACATGATGTAAAGAAGAATTAGAACTAATGAGAGCAACCATGAGAAAGAAGAAACAAAACAAAACAATGAAAGAAAAGGAGGGAAAATAGTATGCTTCTGTCTGCATTCAGACTCCAAAGTTCTTTCTCTGGATGTGGATAGCATTTTCCATCATGAGTCTTTTGGAGTTGTCTTAGATTGAAAAGGAAAACTTTAAATGAGCTATGAACACTATAAGATGTTGGAGAAAAAAATTAGTGAAGAATATACAAAATTCTTTAAAACTTTTTTTTAAATCTAAAAATTTCATACAAATGTTTTAGTACTGATCTGAAATATTTCCATGTAGTGACAGCATGGTAGAGTGAAAGAGCATTGGACTTGGAAGCAAAGATCTAACTAGGGTTTTCAATCCTACTTCTAACCTCTTAGTAGCTGTGTGACCCTTGGCAAGTCACTTAACCTCTTTCGGACTTAGTTTACTTATCAATAAAATGGAGATAATAACACCTACTTCACAGAACTGTTACAAAGATCCAATGAGATGTCTGTAAAGTATATGTAAACCCTAAATTCTGTAAAAATTCTACTTGCTGATCTTATAGAATATGTTGGTTAAATTTTACAGTGTACATATAACAGTATTAAAGTAAAATGTTGATTAAAGGATTTAACAAGTAACAAAATATAATGGCAAAGCTTTTTATTCTTTTGAAAGTGTGAAACTTAAAAAAATAAAATTTCTTGTATTTTCTTTTTCATTCTTTCCACCAGGAGTCAGAAGAAATTAAATCAAATGAGCTAGATGCAAAGCTCAAAGTCACAAAAGGAGAACTAGAAAAACAAATGCAGGAAAAATCTGATCAGCTAGAGGTGAATACTTATGTTCTATACATAACCTTCTACCATATAACAAATGCAGAAAGTCAGAACAGCTTCCTTTGCAAAAATGGTTTCTGCCCACTGCAAAGAGCAGGCAAAGTGTTTGGGGCAAGTTAGTTGATTTGTGATGGATAACATTATATTGTGATCTCCTTTTTAAAATTTTACAAGATGCATCATGCCAAAATAAAAGAACTAGAAGATTTGAAGAGGACATTTAAGGAGGGTATGGATGAGCTACGAACACTAAGAACAAAGGTAATTGCATTAGTTGTCATTGGGCCAAAGAGAGAAAAAAGTAACATTTTGGATTTTGACCATGAATCTTGTTTGTTAGTTTGATTGTTTAGCAGAGGTGGGAATCATGTGGCCTTTAGGCCACTTGTGGCCTCTGGATCCTCACATGCGGCCCTTTGACTGAATCCAAACTTCATAGAACAATTCCCCTTAATAAAAAGGTTTGTTCTATAAAACTTGGACTTAGCCAAAAGGCCACATCCAGGGACCTAGAAGGCCACATGTGGTCTTGAGGCCACGGGTTCCCCACCCCTATAAGGACTAGGTTGGAGGAGGGGTGGGAATTAGGGAGACATAATTATATTTTAGAATAGTATTTCTTCAATAATGAAATACGGTCCTGTTCTGTGCTTGTTTAAAGTTTTTGCCATTAATGTGTTTTAGAATATTGTATCCATTTCAAAACCCACTTCAGACGATATAAATGAAATGGTTTTAGGCATTTGACTTAGAAACAGTCAACTTTTAAGGTACCTGAGTCCTTAATAGTTATAGGAAGAAAATTATCATTAAGACTAAAAAGGCCCTTCCCTACAATTCCCCTGGATATGTTAATGCTACTTTAATTTCTAATAGTTCAGCAAATCCAATATATGTTATCTGTATACCTCATTTACAAAAATAATTTAACTTTCCCCCCAATATTCATCCTAATTTATTGTGAAATACCTTGTTAATGCTTTTATCCTTTTCAAAATTAATCTACCCTTTCAAAATAGTTTGTCTTGAATCTATATAGCACTTTGTAACTTTGAAGTATTTGCATATACATTGTTTCGTATATTTTCACTGTACAATTCTTTGAGTAGGGCAAGTATTAATGCTCGTTTTAGAGATGAGGAAACAATTGGGGATTGAATGATTTGCCTAAAAAAAAAATCACACAGTTAATTCTTGGTGATAGAAATGGAACTCGAATCCTGATCTCTTTTCTCTTTTGTTTTCTTTTTCATAACTGTACTACACTGCCTTGAGTATTTACAGAATATTAATATATTAATAAGACATTGATATTAACATATTAGTAAAAATATACTTTTTATAAGAAAATAATATCACATAACATGCTTACTTGGCAGGTCAAGTGTCTAGAAGATGAACGGCTAAGAACAGAAGATGAATTATCCAAATATAAAGAGATTATTAATCGCCAAAAAGCTGAAATTCAAAATTTGTTGGACAGAGTTAAAATCGTAGAGCAGTTACAGGACCAGCTTCAAAGGTATTAAATAAGAAACTTGCTTTTGTATTTATCATTTTTTTTTCTATTTGTAGGCTGTATTTTATATTACTGAATAAAAATGAATTAAGTAAAATGAGCATTTTCAGAAACATATGTCAACTGTACTTAAAATGAGTATCCTATAAATTTTAATTTGTCACACATAAATTCATCAGTGTTTTCCATGTCTATCCCTTTGTTATTCATATCGATCAACTTTTTCTTACTATGAGGTACCATAAGTCCAAATGATTTCTAAAATTCCTGCCTTCATTTGAACTCTTAGGAGAGTATTTTAGAAATTTCTGGAGTAGTTTTTATGTAATAATAACAATAGCTAGCATTTATGTAGCATTTTAAAGTTTGCAAATGCTTTATGTGTTTTGTCCTTTGGTCCTCACAACAACCCTGGAAGGTGGGCACTATTATTATTATCTTCATTTTATAGATGAGGGCAGACAGAGGTTAATTAACTTTCCCAGAGACATAAAATTCATAAGTGTTTGAAGCCACATTTGAACTCAGGTCTTCCTGACTTGAGATCCAGTGTTCTAACCACAAAAGCTAAGATGAAAATTATATTTTTTAGGTAATGACGATAGTAGTTATTTTTATGGCAACATGATTTTATATTTTTATCCCTTCCTTGTCTTTTTAACACTAATAAAAGTACATAATGTTTTCCTTAAGAATATCTGAAAAACTGATTGGTTTAGTATTTGGCCTTGATAGAGCTCTATGTTGGATAAAAATTTTAAGACCAATCAGTGTCTTTCAGCAATCTTTGTATATTTTTTCATTAATGGCATTTTTTTTTTTAGAGATAAACAAGAAATTGAAAACTTGTCTGAAGAAGTGAGGAGTCTGAATTCTTTGATTAATGACCTACAAAAAGACATTGAAGGCAGTAGAAAAAGAGAATCTGAGCTGTTGTTATTTACAGAAAAATTAACTAGTAAAAATGCCCAACTTCAATCTGAATCTAATTCTTTACAGTCACAAGTTGATAAACTCTCCTGTAGTGAAAGTCAGTTACAGAGTCATTGTGAGCACATGAGACAGACTAATACTGATTTGGTAAGTATAAAGTTAATTTTGAAACCAAGATAATGGAGAACAGAAAAGGAATTGAAAAGTCAGTATCAGTGTTCTATTTTAAGATCCAATTTTAAGATAAGTAGAGATCATATACTTGCTGTTCATTTTGAGCTATTATGTTTTTTTTTTTAAATATCATTATTATTATTATTATTATTTTGTAACTTGATTTCTTGCAAAGCTACACTAGGGGAGGGAAATACAATTTTTTTTATAGAAAAGAAAATTGAGATTTTTCAGTCCTATCTAGATTAATTATATGCTTTATGTTTGACTCTGTACAGTAGTTCCCTGTTTTCTAAAAATCTGATATTTCGCAGCACTGGAGTGTTTATAAATTGTTTCTTTTTAAAAAATTGAAATCTTCTTTAAAAATTTATATTTTTAGTATTTTATTTTTCCCCAGTTACATGTAAAACAATTTTGAGCATTTGCTTTTAAAACTTCAAGTTCCAAAATCTCTCATTTCCTCCTCTCCAAACCCCTCATTGAGAAGGTAAGCAATTTGATATAGGTTATACATGTGTAGTCACTCAAAACATTTCCATAATAGTCATGTGAAAGAAAACATAGACCAAAAAAAAAAACCTCAGGAAAAATAAAGTTTAAAAAAAATATGTTTCAATCTGTTTTCAGACACTATCGCTTCTTGTCTGGGGATAGATAGCATTTTTTCATCATAAGTCCTTCAGAGTTGTCTTGGATTATTGTATTGCTGAGAATAGCTAAGTCATTCTCCTGATCAATTTACAATATTGCTGTTACTTTGTACATAGTACATTTCACTTTGCATCAGCTCGTATAAGTCTTTATAGGTTTTTCTGAGAGCATTCTGCTCATCATTTTTTATAGTTACAATAGGATTCCATCATAATCATAATTTGTTCAGCCATTCCCCAATTGTTGGGCATCCCCTCAATTTCTAATTCTTTGTCCCCAGAAAAGAGCTGCTTTAGATATTTTTGTACATATAAGTGTTATTCCTTTTTGTTTTTTAATCTCTTTTGGAATACAGACCTAATACAGTAGTGGATTGCTAAGTCAAAGGGTATGCATGGTTTTTTGGCCCTTTGGACATAGTTCCAAATTGCTCTACAGAATGGTTGAATCAGTTCACAACTCCAGCAACAGTACTTTAATGTCTCATTTTTCCCACATCCCTTCCAACATTTGTCATTTACCTTTTCTGTCCTATTAGCCAATCTAATAGGTATGAGATAGTACCTCAGAATTGTTTTAATTTGCATTTCTTCAGTCAATAGTGAGTTAGAGTGAAAAATTGAAATCTTTAAAAGAAATCTTTTGAAGTTACCATTTTCATGCATAGCATTATATTAGACATGGTCAAAAATGAAACACAGGAGAAAAAGCTTCAATTTTCAAGAACTTTGCAGTTTTTAACAGCGCAAAAGCCATTAGCACTAATAGTAATAGAGGTATATATTACAATTGATCACCTTTATTTTACCTTTGCTTTATTTATATTCAGGAAAGTAGGTTATTAAAAGAAGAAGAACTTCGAAAGAATGAAAGCCAAGCTTTGCAAGCTGACCTGACTTCTAGACAAATAGAAATAAAAGCATTAAATACTCAAGTAGAAGAACTGAAAGACGAATTAGTTACCCAAAGACGTAAACATGCTTCAAATCTCAAGGATCTTACCAAGCAGCTTCAGCAAGGTTGAGCTTCTTCCATGTCAATTTTTTTTATTAGTATTGATTTTATTTATGAAGGTTTTATGAAAATGAACTTTTTTATAGTAGGTTCCAAAGCATTCAATTGTAAAACTATTTGGGGGATAGCAAGGGCTAGACTTTTGCTTTCACTAATTTAGAGAGTAACTTGTGAGGAACCATTTCTGTTACAGCGTATTAGCATCTTTTTTTGTTACTTGGTATCTTAAGAGTGTAAAATCACTGAAAAGTTAAATAACATGCCCAGAGTAACAACCAGTATGTGTCAAAACTGGGACCTGAACTCGGACTTTATTGACTCCACGTTCAACTCTATGTGTTCTACCATGCTGCCTTTCTACAAAACTATGTTCTTTTGTAACTTGGTAGTTTCCTTTTAATTTGGTATTATTAAATTGATTTGCTAACCCATTCTCCTAGTTCCAGGATTATATTATGTAGGTATATCCCACAAAGCATTTATTAGTAGAATCCCAGCATTTTAAAGCTGAGAAGGACCTTTACCATTTTCTAGTCTAACCTCATTTTATATCTAAGGAACTTCTTAGGACCATGTTACTAGTTAAGAGAGTCAGAATTTAAATTCTGTCTTCCAGCTCTGTATCTTACTTTTTTCCAAAATACTATACTGCCTCTTTTGCATTGAATACTTCTTAGTACTTTGAGGACCTACGGTTTGGGGGTGTGGGTTCTTCCTAAATGCTGGGTTGCTATGGCCAAAAAATTGTATCATCTGGTGGCCAGCCTTCAAGTGATGAATTTCTCTGAATTTAGCTAGACAGGTCCCCAAGCAAAAGATGTATTTTATTACCAAACTCATACTGTCTTAAAACAAGATGAAATTTGGTAACAAGTTAGGATTGTTTGCTAGCTAAGTAATATATTCAAGAACTGGCATACTAGTAGATTGCTTGATTTTAGTTTTACATGACCCTGCATTCTTCAAGTCCATTCCGGTACACACTTTGGACAGTTCCACCAAGTTGAAAAGGCTTTCAGTGCAGAACTGGCAGCAAATTGTCTGTATGCCTGAGGACTCGTGAAATATGGAAAGATTCTTCATCATCAGGTTGGCCAAATATATCATAAATTCTGTGGCCATGGAATTGTTTGAAACAGAGAAATATGCAAAAGGACTTTTAACCCTATATTCCCTTTTCTACTGTTTCTGTGGTACAGTGGTGGAAAAGTAAGCAGAGGGTGCTAATTTTTAGAGTTTAGGCTCTTAAAATATTAAATTTTGTTACTTTAAGTGTAGGATCCTTGGCCAAACAATGAGTTTATTACCACTGGAGGAATTGAACCATACCAACACATAAATGAAACCAAAAGACATAAAGAAGTTCTAGTTAAATACAAGAATATCTTAGTCCACCATGCACCCAAACACAACAAGAAACTTAGTTGCTTAGGACATTTGATCATCCATTTCTGCAGTGCTGGAAGAAACTGGTAAAGCTTCTATGTAGATAGTTTTGGCTTATGCACTTAGCATCTGTTGCAAATGATCAAGAAATAGAGAAATCCTTTCAAGAATTTGACAGGTTTCTCCAAATGAAGTCGGTATGTACCTTGATACTTGGTGACTTAACTATGAATGTGGTCATAGAGGAGGATGTTGAGAAAAGTTGGAAGAGCCCTAAATGAATATTCACCTTTTGCTGTACCTGTAATCTATTTTAGGTTCTAAAGATGGGCTCAGGAGAATTAAAAATTAAATCAGAAACATTGATGCCTTTGTTCTTTGTTTTGACATGTAGCTTCTCTTCTTCCTCACCCTTACCTCCCCTTCCCTGAACTCTTGTGCAGAGAAACAGGCTACTGGGCTCTCAGAAAGTTTCTCAGAGCCTAGCTAAGACCATGAAGGCAAGTTTTTGTCTCTAAGAACAATTCCAAGGGTAGCTATGGAGATGAATCAGTCTCTTTCCTTTCTCCTTCCCCCCTTCAATCCCCTTAACCAATAACAATGCTTTCAGTGCTCAAAAATCCCAAAGTGTAGCTCTGGGAGTGCAGATAACAGATAATATTTTACCTTTCCCACCAATCACCTCCCTAAACTCCTGCAAAGTAAGGAAAACTGATGAAACATTAGAGACACACGTGATGGCAGTTTTTATATACAAAAGGAAAGTTGGGAAATCTTTACTGCTTTGACCTCCCTTTTTCCACTGCAGTATAACGTATTAAAATAAGCTGTTGACTCTAAACAAAAGTAAAGTCATTTACTCTAATCATCTTCTTAGTGACTCTTAATTGATGAGAGTCATCACAGTGAGGAAGCCAAGGGGCAATGAACAGAGATCTCTTCCCGACAGAGAGATCTGGTAGACAAGGAAACCATCAGTTTATCATACAAGCTTATTTTCAAAACATTATGAGAATAATGGAATATTTTAAATAGTATCAGTCACCTTATGAAACATTGAAAAGCAGGGGAAGGAGAAGATGTGTTCTACAGAGGGCTTGATATAGTACCCAACTGAGTGATATTATCCAGACAGCATTTATAGATAAAACTGGAAGGACAACAACAAACTTTGGAACAAAAATGGAATAGATGCATTGCCATTTCTACAGTTGTATTTTCTTGATTTACGATGGGACCACCAAACTTGAATTCCAGATACTCCAGTACCTCCATATCATATAAGGAAGGGAAAATGGCACACACAGATTGAGAAGAGCACTAGATTTTCCAAGTATGAAAAGAAGAAATAAGTTCTGGTTGTTGACATAATTTTCAAATTTTCAGGGTATTTCAAAAAGGGGGAAAAAGACTAGACCAGGTGAAAGAATACACTATTAACAAAAAATTGCTGACCAAGAAGATAGTTTGTCAGCAGCTGTTGACCTTTGGTCTTTCTTCATCCTCTCTAAAATTTTTTGTGAAAATGATTTGCTGATTACAAAACAGTTTTTGACCCAATATAGCAAAGGCCTAAAAGCTTTCCTCTGGTAAGGTTCTTTGCATGTACATGTGGACATCCTGCAAAATTTCCTTGATAGGTAAAACCACCATGATAACTTTGTTCATTAGTCCTCTTGTTATTATCTTTCTGCAAGGCATAATCAGTCAGTCATTAGGTGGCACACTGGACAGAATTCCAGGCCTGAAATCAAGAAGACTCATTTTCCTGAGTTCATATCTGGCATCAGTCACTTATTGGCTCTGTGACCTCTGGGCAAGTCACTTAACCCTGTTTGCTTCAGTTTCCTCATCTGTAAAATGAATTGGAGAAGGAAATGGCAAACCATTTATCTTTGCCAAGAAAACTCCAAATGGGGTCACAAAGAGTCAGACACAACTCAAACAACTGAATGACAACAATAAGTGCTTACTATGTGCCAGGTACTGTCCTGAAGCTTTTTTATCAAGCACTATAGAGATATCTCAGTAAGATCTATATTTCAGAGGAACTGGTCTAACAAAATCGCAGGAGAGGAACTAATTATGAAGAATGCCTATTGCTTAGATTATTATGTGTGATTGGATAAACAGCCTATTGAGTTAGTCCACTAGTACTTACATTTTGGATAGGAACTGCACACGGACAATAATCTGGATCCAGTACTGAATAAGAAAAGAATAGGTTAGATCATATTTTGGAGATCACATTGTACATTTAATGTTCCCAAGCTGTTCCCTGCCGCAAAAACACCTGAAATTTGTAGCCAATATTCATATCACAATCTAAGAAGAATCAACATGACAGGAGACCCAAAATGCAATGGAAATCAGTCATTTGATCAGCAAGCATGTGTTAAGTGAGCACTGTATGCCCAGCACTCATAGTGCTAGGCATTGTGGCTATATAGACAAAAATGAAACATTCCCTACCCTCAGATAACTCAACATTCCGTCAAGGGAAATGACATATACATCTTTAGGTAAACATAAAATATATACAGAGTAATTTGGAATGTTTGGAGAACTGCCCTTGTTAGGGATTAGGAGATAATCCCTCCCAGAGTATAGGAGGTGACTCTTGAGTTGAGCTTTGAAGGAAGCTTAAGATGGCAAAAGCATAAAGGAAAAGAGTACCTTCCAAGTATGAGGGTCAACCTGTGCATGTACAGACAGTAGATATACAAGTGTCCAGTTTGGATAGAATGTAAATCATATGAAGGGGAATAATTTGTAATAGGTTTATAGAAAGGTATTCTGGAGCCAGATTGTGAAAGACTTTAAATGTCAAATATAATAGTTTGTATTTAATATTAGTGATATCACTTGGCCAGTTGTACAGACAAAGAATTGGGTAGGTGAAAGATATTTACTAAGATTATTTCAAAAGTTTAGGTGTAAAGTGACGAGAATGTAGAGAATGGGACAGATGTGAAATATGTGAAGGTAATAGCAATGAAATTTAGCAACTGATTGAATGTGATGGTTAAGGGAGGGTGAAGTCAAGAATAACTCCAAGGTTATGAACTCGGATAACTAGAAAGATGGCAGATGGTACAAGCCATGACATAAATAGGGAAATTAGGAAAAGGGATGGGTTGGGAGGGAAACATAGTTTTATTTTTGAGGTACATATTTGAGGTACGTTTCTCTTGTGAGAAATTTCCAGTATGTGTTTAATGATACAGACATAGAGAAAGATTACTGGTGGATCTGCATGAAGATAATTGAACTCTGGGGAGCTATTGAAATATCACTGAGAGTGTGAAGATTTAGAGAGGGAAGAGAAGGGGAACCAGGACAGAGCATTGGAATACACTAATGAGTAGGGGATGTGACTTGGATGACTATCCAGCAAAGGAAACTGAGGTATAACTATACAGGTAGGGAAAAATCATTTAGTTGTGTTGTAGTATCTATAAAGTAGAGGGTAGTTGACATAAAATCTGTAGAAAGGTGAAGAAAGTTGAGGATTAGCAAAAGACCTTTTTATTTGGGAATTAAGAGGACTCTGAAGTAAATAGTGAAGTGGAGCCTATAAGTGTGTATAGCTTTTTCTAAGAATTTGGATGTCAAAGGGGAGGAGAGGAGTAGGATAATAGTTTTTGGATATAGGATAAAGATAGGGACTGGAGCTGTCATTTCATTAGTATACAGAACTTCCAGGTGAGGAAATTGCCTCTGCCAATGCAGGCTCCTTCTGTGTAAATTAATATACATATAAATAATAAATAGAGAGTTGCCTAGAACACTTGGAGCTAGTAATTGAACCCAGGTCTTCCTGGTTTCAACTTCTTTACCTTGTTCTCTCTAGTTTGAGAGATGGTAAAGTCAAATGAAGGTTTTCTTGAGGATCCGGGAGAACTGGGAATATTTGTAGCCAGTAGATAAGTAGAGATTGAAGGTGAGAGAGAGAAAGACAAAGGGAGGGGATGATTACTGGGACAACCTGATAGAAGTTATAGTATAGTTATAAGAAAAGAAGGCAGGAAGAGCCAATTTTTTTTAAAGTCAGAGATGGGAATAAAGGAGGAGAGTATGGAAGATAGTAATGTTCTAAAGTTTTGAGATGTAGAATAGGGAAGAAACAGGAATTCACTGCAAGTAACCCCTATTTTCTCAGTGAAGTATGAATGAACAAGGGCTGATAAGTAGGGAAAGTGAAAGGAGGTGAAATGAGAGTAATGTGTAATGAGTCTTGAGGAGTCTCAAGAAAAATGAAGGTTTGAAATAGGTGCTATACAGAATGGGATAGAATGGTATAAGTTATATCTAAGTAGGCAGCATCATATTGTAGTAAGTGGCATAAACAATTGACATGAAAGATATATATTAAGAATAAAGGGGAGTGGGATAGCCCATCAGCAAGAGTAAGGGATAACACATGAACAATCCAAGTGTTGTACTGATATCAACAGAAGTTTAAGACCCAAAGGGTAAGTATTCAAATCCCGCTGGCATTTATTAAACTGTAGTGCATTCATCTAGGTGCTAGGGTTACTGAGACAAAATGAAAAACAGTCTCTGCCTTCACAGAGTTTTTGTTCTACTGCATGGCCTCTAGCATGCAGAATAGGCCCTTTATGGGTGATTTCTGCAAAGATATAGATAGAAAATAGTTGCACAGGATGAGAAAGTATGAATGGATTTGCATAAGGAGAAAAGAGTACTCATACCAATGAAATATGGATGTGTTGAAATACCATTGAATTTTGAAGGGAGTTTTGAAAAGGAATTCCCATTAATGTGATGAATTTTCCATCTTAAATACTGAATTATTGCTTAGTGCATAAGTAGGCTTAATTTATCAGTTATATGAATATTTTTCCATATAATATATTTTAGTGATGCATTTTCATTTGTAAGTGAATGGTTAGCATTAGTTGCTTTTATCTTAATTACCTATCCAGTATCAATGATTTTCTGCCTGTTGGTACTAGGATTCTTGGTTTAATGTGGTTGACAATTGTTGTGTTGTGTAAATTGCTTAAATCTGAAATGGTGGGACTCAGTAGTTAAAATATTTAAACTTATTACAGATAATGCTGTTCTTCTTTCTCCATGTAGCACGAAGAAAATTAGACCAGATTGAGAATGGTAGCTATGATAAAGAAGTCAGTAGCATGGGGAGTCGTTCTAGCTCATCAGGTAAATTTTTTTAGAAATGCTAATCATCATTTCTTGATTGTAAAGAGAAACAACATATTAAGTTAGAGAATTTGTGCTTTCGTTGGTTCATTTTGAAATCAATCTTTGTCATTAATACAGTTTACAATTATGTTCATAAAAGCATTCTTCTAAATGTTCTTTGATCAACCTGAATTACAAATATTAATATTGGGGTATTCTTTTCCTCTCTCTAACCACAACCTGTTGAGTATGCTTTCAAAGTCCCCTTGATAAAAGAGGAAAGACAAAATATTGTTATAAATAGTAGTTTGATTTATCACTTATCATATACAGATAATGGATAATTTTTCTATAGCTTAATTTTCAGAACAGTTTTCCAATGTATGACATAAGGAACAAATTTGTTTTCATTATCTTCCTTTATTTGCCGTACTTTTTTCTTTTTTATCACCTATTGATAATAATATGTGTATGTCCAGTTCCCTCCTTCTTCTCTCTCAGGGCTTAGTCCTAGTTTTTTGTTTGTAATCATTTTAGTACAAACATGACTAAAACAGAGTTTGTTTTACTAACTTTCTTAATTTTCCTCCATAACCAACAACTGTATTGTCTGTAGGGAGCTAGGTGGCACAGTAGGCAGCGTGCTGGGCCTGGAGTCAGGAAGGCTTATCTTCCTGAGTTCAAATCTGGCTTCAGATGCTTACTAACTGTGTAACCTTGGACAAGTCATTTTGTCCTGTTTGCCTGAGTGTCTTCATATATAAAATGAGCTAGAGAAGGAAATGACAAACCACTCTCAATATGTTTGCCAAGAAAACCGTAAATGTGGTCATGAAGAGTTGGAGACGAGTGAAAAATGAATGAACAACAACTTATTGTCTCTACAAATGACAATCTCTCCATCTTCCTAATGTCACTGGTATGGGATTTGAAGGAATCTTCCAACTCCATCTTTCCTCACATTGAACCTGTGACCAGTTCCTGTTTGTCATTACAGCACAAGTTAGCCATTGTTGTCTATCTGAACTATCACACTACTATCTTACTTGACTACCTAAATTTCCCCATTCTCTAGCCAACTTCAGTGCAGTGCTTGAATACAGCATGCAGTGCTTGCCCACAGTGTTTCTTGAGTTCTGATTACACTCTCTGGGTTTTAAGCTTACTCATAGATGTCCTGCCTCATCCTTCTCTTTTCTCATCTTCCCCTTTTGTTCTAACCAGTGATTTCCTTGTCTTCTTTCTTTGCTCTTTCCGGTGTACTTGCCCTAAATTGTGCATATACATAATCATGCATGCATATATCTATATCTATAGGTAGATATAGATATATATTACATATATACATATTTTATATATAGATATATAGGTATGTAAAATTTTTGGTTTTTTATTAATATTTAACACAGGAGAGCAATAATGCAATTATTAGTCAACAAATGATTTGTTTCTTAAACTTTTCTCTTGACTTTTAACTGGCTTCTCTTAGGACAGACATTAATTGTGGTCTGAATTAAATTTTAAAATGAATAAAAGCTATGAAGACAGCTTATAATAATTGACAGTAAGCATTAAGAATAATAGCATTTGTTAGTGTACCATTGTGGTTTTAAGTATATTTTTTAGCAAAAGTAACAGTTCTTTTGATTATTATTACTTCTTACCTGTCGGCTCCTTCTCTTTCCCTGCAAACATGCTCCAGTCTCGCATCCTTGAAAATCCTTCATTTGGCTTTGCTATTTTGTCAAGCTGTTATCGTCTGTCTTTTCCTTTTCACAGCCTTGTTACCTCCATTTCCTCATATCTCATTCATTTCTTAGTCTCTTATAATCTGAGTCCTTTATATAACTGAATTGTGTGTGTGTGTGTGTGTGTGTGTGTGTGTGTGTGTGTGTGTGTGTGTGTGTACACACAACTGAAACTATTTTCTTCATATAACTGAAACTGTTCTCCTTAAGGTTACTAGTGATTTCTTAACATCCCAATTCTGTGGCATTTTCTCAATCCTCTTCCTTCTCTTCATCCCGAGCTATCTTCATGCCATGCTTCTGCGCCTCCAACCCGGGGCTTTAGGGTGGTGAAAGCTCACCATATCAAGCCTGGCACCAACCTTACATGCTGTTCTCTGGCCATTTTCATCCTATGCTGTTGTGCTTGTACTTTTTCCCTTCCTACTCCTAGCTGTGAGAAGTACAATTTCATCTGTCCTGAAAAGGATATGTCATTTGGTTAGCCTGTAACTCTTCATCAAACCTGTGACTTCTTAACCAAAATAGCCCTCCCTGCCCACTACTGTTAGACTGTATCCCCAAGCATTTAGGCCTAACACAAGCTTAATATATTAGAAATGCTTTTTGATTCATTTATTTCTTGTAGATTTTGGTTCCTTCTCCTGGACCCTATCTTCTTTCTTGGTTTTTGCAACACTGCTTTATTAGTTTCCTTTGCTATAGTATCTTCCTCCCCTTGCCCACTAAGTATGGCAATCCCCCAAGGTTCTATACTAGGCCCTTTTCCTTTCCCTCTCTCTACTTTTACTTTCGATCTCATCAGCTCAGATTGGTTTATCTCTGTGCACCTGACTCTGTAAACTATATAGAGTCATAATTTCTACTACAAATTCTAGTCTTATATAATACCAATTACAGGCTTGACATTTTTCTGTATCTGTATGTCCAATAGGCCTCTCAAACCCAGATGTTCAAATTACAACTCATTTTCTCCTAAAGTCATTCCTTATGTAACTTCCCCATTTTTGTTAATGACATAACTACCATTTCAGTTACTCAGTTTTACAACGTTATGAGTAACTTTGGCTCTTCCTTCTCCCTTACCTGCCATATCTAACCAGTTGCCAAATACTTGTCTGTTCTGCCTCTATTGCCTCTCTTGCATTCATTCTCACTCTCTATTCACAGCCACCACCCTACCTTAGACTTTTCATCTTTTCTGACCTGGCCTAATGAAATAGCCTCCTTTTTAGTTTATTTGTTGCCAACCTCTTCCTTTTCCAAAGTATTCCCCATGAAGCTACTAAGTTGAAATTCCTGAAAGGCAGGTCTGAGTTGTCGTTTGTTGTTGAGTCGTTTAAGTTGTCTTTGATACTTTGTGACCCCATTTGAGGATTTCTTGGCAAAGATGCTAGAGTGGTTTTTCATTTCCTTCTCCAACTCATTTTACAGATGAGGAAATTGAGGCAAGCAGAGTTAAGTGACTTGCCCAGAAACCCACAGCTAGTAAATGTCTGAGGCCAGATTTGAACTCAGGAAGAGAAGTCTTCCTGACTCCCAGCTAGGTGCTCTATCCACTGGTGCCATCTGAGCTTACTCAAGGATAAAATATAGACTCCTCAACTTAGTATATAATCTTCTACACTTTGATTCCCAATTACATTTGTAGTCTTATATCACATTCTTTCATGTACTCTGTTCAGTTTGCTAGCATTTATGTAGCACTTTAAGGGCTGCTAGGGACTTTACAAATGTTTCGTTCTCTCCTCATAAGAACCTGGGGAGGTAGGTGCTGCTATTATGCTCATTTTACAACTCCAGAAACTTAGGCAAATAGGTTAAGTGCCTTGCCCAGAGTCACACAGCATCAGTTCACATAAGTCCTCTCAGGTTTTCCTGAGAGCATCCTGCCCATCATTTCTTTTAGCACAATAGTATTCTGTCATAGTTATATACCACAACTTGTTCAGCCATTTCACAATTGATGCTCATTACCTCAATTTCCAATTCTTTGCCACCACAAAAAAAAGCTGCTGTAAATGTTTTTGTACATTGTAGGTCTTCTTCTTTGATCTCTTTGGGATACAGTTCTAGTAGTAGTATTGCTGGGTTAAAGGGTATGCATGGTTTTATACCCCTTTGACCATAGTTCCAAACTGTTCTCCAAAATGGTTGACCCAGTTCACAGCTCCACCAGCAGTGCATTAGTATATATTTTTCCACATCCCCTCCAGCATTTGCCATTTTCCTTTTCTGTCATATTAGCCAATCTGATAGATATGTGGTGGTACCTCAGAGTTGTTTTAATTTGTATTTCTTTAATCAGTAATGATTTAGAGCATTTTTGTGTGTGTGACTATAGGTAGCTTTGATTTCTTTGTCTGAAAACTGCCTGTTTATATCCATTGACCATTTATCAATTGGGAAATGACTCATATTCTTATAAATTAGACTCAGCTCTCTATATATTTGAGAAGTGAGGCCTTTATCAGAGAAGCTTGCTATAAAATTTTTCCCATTTTTCTTCAAATTTTCTTCTAATCTGGGCAGCATTGGTTTTATTTGTGCAAAACTTTTAAAATTTAATCAGAATTGCCCTTTTATATCCCATACTGCTCTCTTATTTGGTCACAAATTCTTATCTTAACCATATGTCTGTTCCCCTAATTTGCTTATGATATTTTATGTCCAAATTATGTACCCATTTTAATTTTATCTTGGTATGCAGTGAGATGTTGGTCTCTAGTTTCTACCGAACTGCTTTCCAATTTTCCCAGCAATTTTTGTCATATAGTGAATTCTTGTCCCAAAAACTTGGATTTTTTGCATTTATCAAATGCTAGATTATTATTGTCATTTACTGTTGTGTATTGTGTACCTAATTTATTCCACTGATCCGCCACTCTATTTCTTAGCTAGTACCATATTATTTTAATGTTTACCACTTTGTAATACGGTTTAAGAACGGGTACAAGTAGGCCACCTTCCTTTACTTTTTTTTTGATTGATTGCCTTGATATTTTGACCTTTTGTTCTTCCAGATAAATTATGTTATTGGCATGTAGATTCCCAACTATTTTATATTGTCAGTAGTTGTTTTAAATGGAATTTCTTTTTCTTTCTCTTCCTGCTGGAATTTTTTGGTAATGTGTAGAAATGCCAGTGGTGTATATGGGGGTTTATATTTTGCAACTTTGCTAAAATTGTTAATTATTTCAACTAGATTTTTTAGTTGATTCTCTAGGATTCTCTAAGTATACCATTGTATCATCTACAAAGAGTGATGGTTTTGTTTTTTCATTGCCTATTCTACTTCCTTCAGTGTCTTTCTTATTTCTATAGCTAGCATTTCGAGTACAGTGTTGAATGGTAGGGGTGATAATGGATATCCTTGCTTTTATGGATAATATTTGCTGGCAGTTTTAGATAGATACTACTTATTTTAAGGAAAGCTCCATTTATTCCTGTGTTTTCTAGGAATTAATAGGAATGAGTGTTGTATTTTGACAGAAGCCTTTTTTGCATTTATTGAGAAAATCACATGATTTTTGTTTTTGTTATTGATATGGTCATTTATGCTGATAGTTTTCCTAATATTGAACCAGCCCTGAATTTCTACCTAGTCTGCTTTTTAAGAATCTCTTCCGTGTATTTTTGGGCCTCTTTTACCATTAGGCCAATTCATATTTTTAAGGTGTTCATTTCCCCAGTATTTTTGTGCCCCTTTTACTAAGCTGTTGACTCTGTTTTTGTTCTTTGTTTTGTTTTGGGTTTTTTGCATCAGTCTCATTTCTTTTCCCAATTTTTCTTCTATCTCTATTCTTTGCTTGTAAAAATTCTTTTTGAGGTCTTCTAGGAATTTGCTTGTGTTGAAGTTGTATTTTTCTTTGAGGCTTTGCTTGTAGCTACTTTGACATGTCTTCCAAGTTTGTGTTTTGATCTTCCCTGTCACCACAGTAGCTTGTTATGGTTAGGTTCTTTTTTGTTGTTGCTTGCTCGTTTTTTCAGACTACTTCTTGACTTTTAATACCCATATTGTAGTCCTAAAAAGTTTTAGATCCTTTTGAAGCCTCTTTGATCCTTAAACTAAGGGACTGATCATTCAACCATGTTTAGGCATTATCAGCTAGAACACTTGTATCAAGGTTTAATTAGGGATATTAAATGAAAATTTTTAAATAAAATGGAGAAAAGAAATAATAGAGTAAAAGATAATGCTAAATTAGACCCATTTTTGGCTCAGGGTCCCTTAATGCTCGAAGCAGTACAGAAGATCGATCACCAGAAAATACTGGCTCCTCTGTGGCTGTGGATAATTTTCCAGAAGTGGACAAGACTATGCTGATTGAGAGGATAGTAAGGCTGCAGAAAGCGCATGCCCGGAAAAATGAAAAGATTGAATTTATGGAGGATCATATAAAGCAACTGGTGGAAGAAATTAGGAAAAAAACTAAGTACGTATGATGGTTTTGTATTCTTTAAAACAGCGTCAACTAATATTGCAAAGGTGGCATTTTGCAAGTGAAATTTGATAAAAATTAAGTAATCATCTACACCTCTGCTCAAACTATTCTTAGGCTCTAGTTCTTCATTTTAAAATAATAATATTTATGAACAATTTCTAGAACAACTTAGCTTGTTCCTGTAATATAGCTAGATAAATAAGTGTAGATTTTTTTTTCATTCTAAGTCAAGAGCCAAGTTAATATAATTTTCTGTCACAACAGTAACTTTGGTAAATCACCTGTACGTTTTAAGTCATGACACATGACTCTTTTTGAAAGGAATATGATAAAATATAGTTCTAGATGTAAAGGTCAGGAAAGTTAGAACTTTGATTTGTTGTTCTCTTTAGGGCTAGCATTATGCAGTATTTATATTAATTATGTATAAATGAAGATATTTAGTTGATCGAGGAACAGGAATTACTAAGTCATTTTTGGACAAATAATGGTTGAAGGAAATTGAAGTGTTTATATTCTTTTATATTTGTATTCTAAGTTGGCTAAATGCATTGTCATAATAAAAATATCAAGTGAAAATAATAGTTTATGTATCATGTTATAATTACAAAATTATCTTGCATAGATCTCGTTCTTTCTTCACAGCAATATTTTGAAGCAGTATATATTCCCAATTCTGTAGATGAGGATACTTAGGTGTATTATTAACCTGAGATGCTCTTTTCATTGTGTTATTCTGCCACTAAATACAGGAACTTGTTTAATGTTCTTAGCCACTCACAAGCAATTACGGAGTGCCTACGACTGTGAAATACTACACCTAGCTCTGGGGAGAAAAGGAAAAAATATACAAAGGAAAAAATGTAACACTTTTTGCCCCCATAGACCTTACATTCTACTGGAGAAGATCTCTTTAGTTGCAAAATAAATGCTAAGTAATTTGGGAAGAGGCAGTGACATCTGGGAGGATAAAGAAAGGCCTCATGTAGGAGGCAGCATTTGAACTGATTCTAAGAGGCCGTGCTCAAGAAAGGGGGCATTTCAGGCATTAGAAAGTGACTAGGCAAAGACTTGGAGCTGGGAGATAGTATGTCATGTGTGAGGAACATCAAGAAGACCAATCTGGCTTGATTACAAAATATGTGAAAGGAAGTAATGTGTGACAAGCTCATAATTTCAGTTAAGCATCTAAAAGACTTTCGTTTTTGACAGTATCATAATGCATAGAGTGCTCGTCTTAGAAGCAGGAAGACTTGGGTTTGAAATCCTGCGTCATACACTTACTGAGCTGTGTGACCCTGGGCAAGTCACTTAATCTTCCAGCCTCTGTTTCCTCATCTGTAAAAGTGGGTATGATAACAGTACCCAATTCCCAGGGTTGTTGTAAAGAGCAAATGAAATAACCTATATAAAATGCTTTGCAAATCTGAAGTGCTGTATGAATATTCACTACAGTTGCATACATTTTTAAGCAGTCAAGGATGCATCTGTAATAGCTTTTTTTCCCCCTTAGAATAATTCAGAGTTATGTCTTACGAGAAGAAGCAGGCACATTGTCATCAGAGGCATCTGATTTTAACAAGGTCCATTTGAGTAGACGAGGAGGCATCATGGCATCCCTGTATACTTCCCATCCGGCTGACAGTGGGCTGACATTAGAACTGTCCTTGGAGATCAACCGAAAATTACAGGCTGTTTTGGAGGATACATTACTTAAAAATATTACTTTGAAGGTATTGATGATTTTCATAAATTTTCATCCAATCTTACAAAATGTGTTACCCTGAAAACCTACCAAATGGTAGATTACTTCTGTAATATCACCCAGCTATTTATCCCAGAAGGTGGAAATTCATTTTAAGGTTTATTTTTCTCCCTCGTGCTTTCACATTTTTTAAAAACCCACTTTATTTTCAAACAAGTTGAAAAATAACACTATAGCATGATTTATAGGAGAGGAAACCAGTTTAATTACTATAAAATAGATTATAGCTGAAATTTTCTGCCTGATTTGGAAGTTTTATTACTTTTTTTGTGGGCAGATTTTGATCTCAATTTGGTCTGCAGTTATTTATAATTAATTGCTAGAGTAAATGTTAATGATTTTAAGTAAAATATATGCTACAGAATTTTGTTTTGAAGTTATTGCTGCTATTATTTGATTTAACTACTGTAGCAGATGATCTTCTGGAGCTTTGACATTCTCAATGAGTTTTTAAAAGTCAATAAATAATCTCTTGTGCATTATCAATTACTGTAGCATCCCTTAGTCAGATTGCCATTCCTTTGTTTAAAACCAACAGGCCTTCACTAAGCACAGAATATTCCCCTGGTTTTTACGACAAAACTAAGCTAGAGTTCAGAGGGAAATAAACATACTTACTTATGAGCTTAATAGGAGAAGAAATTTCAAAGTGAATCTTTTATTTGTGTGAGTTAATATTTTTGTGTTTTTTTTCTTCCCATTTTATAAACTAAAAATAAAAGGAAAATCTACAAACACTAGGAACAGAAATAGAACGTCTCATTAAACACCAGCATGAACTAGAACAGAGGACGAAGCAAACATGACAAAGCTTTTGCATAGTAAACAGACAAAAGCTGCAGAAGGAACAGGTGCTACAGACCTCGGTGGCGTTTTGAAGTTTTTTTTATGATCTGTGTGTCACTCAGTGAAAGTGTGTTTTACCTGTGATACAAATTTAAGTCATAACTGAATTTTTTGATATAACCCATCCTTGCTATTCTCTGACCATTTGAATGATTTACTGTGTGTACTGTATGTAGCGTAAGCTTCAAGATTTTAATTGTTTGCACTGTGGAATATAACATCCTGTTAATGATAAAAAAAAAAAAGATTTGTTTAATTTGCAAATAGTCATATCAGATGCTGAAGAATACTACAAGGGCTTTCAAACACTATATTTTTCCATCTCTCCATTAACATGCCTTATATATCAAAGGTGATTAAACCTTTTAAAAATATGCATGAAAAGACAGGCGTTAAAAATCATTCATAATTATATGCACTTTCTTACTCTAAAATAAGCTCAACACAAATAACTATAACACATTAACTTTGGAATTTTCATTACATTTAGCCACGTATAGTAGGATATGTGTTTGGTTCTGTGACTTGATTTTAAAATTGACATTTGAAGTGGAATGGAAAAGTTTGCTAGTGATAATAATGTGTGTGGTATCCCGAGAAAGTTCAGATATTCATTCTTCTCAATGTCTGGTTTGGTCATTAAGCTTTTCCTACAGTTAGATACCTTCTTTATAGCACCCCTGCATGGTTCATTGCATTTAAATGTTTATCATTTTTACACATTTCTTTTGATTGATAGCTTAAATGGTTTCCTAGAATTCATTTCCATAAATTGATTCCCCGTAGTGTATCTTGAGAAAATTTTCATTGAGTTAAATCCAAATTTTTAAATTGGACGAGTCATTAGAACGGTAGACTATTTTAGAAGCTATGATACACATATGCTTCATTAATATAAGAAAAAATGTAATAATGCTTAGGATTCAAGTCCCAAGGAAAACAGCATTGATATGTTTTGTCAAGACTGTTTTATTTGAATACTATTCCTTTGCACTGTTAGGTCTGTTTTATACTGTAGATTATAGCATCACTCCTTCAAGATTATATTTTATTTAAAACTCACAATCACTTATGTGTAACCAAAGGATTTTTAGAGCCAAACGCATATACCTATTGAGAGATTTTACTATATTTATTTAAAATGTGCACTTAATTTTTATGAGCAGTATCAATAATAATTCTTACATAAATTCCATTAGGGCAGGGACCATTTTTTTAATTTATGTATTTTCCCCAATGCCTAGTACAGTGCTTTGCACATAATAGGCATTAATGTTCAGTGTTTGTTGAATATTTTCATTTGTCGAGATGCTACTTAAATTTGCCCTCACTTCCTAGAATTTTCGCATGTGCATTTGTGTACATATTTCATTACATTTAGATCATTGTTGTAATATAATACCTTGGCTAATGTTTGGTGCTTGTAGCCGTTAAAATGATTAATTTTTTTTTAATTTCAAATTTTTTTTAAAGGAGAATGGATCCCTGTAGGTTATTGCCACTGGAAGTTTTTTTTTATTTTAAGAAAATTGAACTCTAAAAGTTGGGTCCATCATAGTAACATCCGTCTAATTTGTTTTAAAATTCTCATATTAATTTGACAATGTTGCAAAAAGTAATGTGCTAAATAAGGGTAATATTCAAATGTTAAATTTCTGTAGTGTGGTATATATTTTCTGTATATTTAGTTCATGTACTCATAACTGACTCCCATTCAGAAATTCATAAAATTAAATTCAATGAAGATTGTTTATTTTATGTTAGTTGAGAATTAGTATTGATATACCATAATGTGTCTTATTTTTCATATGTTTAATTTATGAAAGTAAAAAATTAATAACCGTATAGGGTAAGTGCAATCATGTCTTTTTTTTTCCATTATTCTTTTAGGCGTTCAGATATCACTCCTAATGACTACTTATTGTAGCCAGATTTTTACTCCTGTGCAACCAAACCATGCTTGGCTTGTCATATAGATATTATCTGTGAGATATAATTTAAGTTTTTCTCCGTATGTGAATCAGTATTCAGGAGGCCAAGATTATTATATGTCCATTATGTGCTGTGTAGACAAGCTTTTAAATTTCTACATTTATCAGAGACGGAAATGAATTATTCCAGTATTTATGTCTGCATATGTCTTTTGGAAAAATCTTTACTAGGAAGTTAGTTTTTGGAAGAAAGCCATTAGAAAGTATATGTTGACCATATTCTAATTTCTAATGTAAGTGCAAGTAGAAATCCTTTGAAGAAAATATTTTACTTTCTTTAAAATGATGTACACTGCAGCCTTATATATCTGGATCAGGACTGTACTAGGCATTGGGGAAAATACAGTATTTTAGGTTCTTTGGGTTGCAGGGAATAGTGTACATATATGTGAGTTATCACATCTTAAAAAGTGAGCACAAGGTATTAAGTTATTAACAACAATTTTCCCCTACTAATTCAAGTCTTAATCCCTCAGCCAGTTAAGTTTTGAGAATTTAAAATGAAGATTTAGCATCAGGGTAAAAGAGTAGGGTAGTTTTTGAATGACTTCCCCAATTAAGCAATGTCTTTTTTTCATGTGCCCTGTTTTCTATACTGTACAAATGTGAGGAGTAAGTTTCTATTTCCTAATTACATAATCCTGTGCAGTTTAGAATTTTTTGGTGTGTGCATTTATACACATAGGTTTGTTTATAGAAACACATATGCACAAATATAATTATTTAAATATTATGATTTTTTACCAGGGGTGGGTCATTGACTAATGTCCTACTTTTAGAAGTTATATCAAGGGTAATTGCTATACAACTCAATTCTGTCAAGCTGATCAAGCCAAGGGCTTGATATAGAATAACCAAAGATAATAATTTAGTTTTATATTATCAGAAATTCAGTTCTAAGGACATCTGTTATAAATAACATGGCCCTTTGTAACAGGTTAAGAAAATGTTAATCCATGTATATAGTTGGATGAACCAATGATGCTTTTTTTTTTTAAGAAATGCTTGGTGTTATTGAAATAGATTGCTGTGATTCTACAGGTTTTCCAGCATTAATTTGATTAATTTGATACTTATTTATTTTTTCCTTTAAAAAAAAAACCAACCCTGTAACATATGGCATTAGCTTTCTAGTAATGTTTTTAGATTACTAATGCCAACTGGTGTTGCTGACAAATGCATCTAATTATGTTGAAATATCATGTCAGTTTCTTAAGCAAAAAATATTTTTCCTTTCACAGTATGTTTAAATTCCTTCCTTTATTATAAAGTTTTACATGTAAATGTAAAGCTAGATTTAACAAAACAAAGCCTTTAGGCTATGTTAATATTTTAAATACTCCATGACACCCTGGTGAGAATCTTTTATAGGTCATCTTTTCATTCACTGTGATTGGCTGTTCTTGTGCATATTGGCTCTAGTGACTTGTGGTTTTTTTTTCTCAGTAACTTTAAGAACAAAACTCTTTTGACACTTAAGAACACTATTTTAAAAATCTTTATTGCCAGTTGGTGGCACTATTAACCAGAATTTCAAAAGAGGTAAAAATGAAAATTTCTCCAAATATAAAGATTTTCGAACAAAATGATTAAATGATGGTTATAAATGTATAGTAAAGATGTATTTTTATTCCAGAATGGAAAGTTTTTTAAAAATGTGTATGTCCATTGTCTGTAGTGAAATTTGTTTATATTTCTGAATATATGCATAGTCTCTTTGATTTCACTAAAATGTTAATTTTGTAGATATGATTCTGTATAAATGAAGTTTTTCAAGAAGTCATCATAAGTTCATGCTGTATATATTGTACTATTAAAAAGAAAACATCTGCTTCCATGCTGTAATTTAATGGTATCTCGACTCCTTTACACTCACTCCTCTTTGATGGCTCTTTAGAACCTATCTTCAAGGCCAACTCACACTTTGCAAAAAAGATTTTTTTTACCATGCTTGAAATATTCTCCTTTCCTTATTTAGAAATACTCCCTTTGAAACAGCCAACAGGAGCCATGGAGACCATCTATTCCAACCCCTTCATTTACAGATGAGAAAACTGAGGCTAAAAGAGTTTAAATAACTTGCCCAAGGTCAGAGTCAGGTCTCTTCAGGGCTTCTAGTCTGGTGCCTTTTCTGTTCCACTTGATATACTTGTCACTGTGAATGAACAATAAACAAATTAAGTTCTATACTGCTAAGATTGTCAGAAGCTGATTTTTTTTGTTTTTTGGTTTGTTTTTTTTAAGCAATTGGGATTAAGTGACTTGCCCAGGGTCACATAACTAGTAAGTGTGTCAAGTGTTTGGTCTGAGGCCAGATTTGAGCTCAGGTATTCCTGACTTCAGGGCCTGTGCTCTATCCACTGCACCACCTAGCTGCCCCAAAAGCTGATTTTCAAAAGACTTTTTAGAACTGTTGTAAACATATGCATATTTGTTTTTGGAGCTAATGGTATAATTTCTGCAGAATTTTTTTCTAAATTTATCTAGCTTTGAGAAAAAAGAACGCATGTACTTGATAGTAAGAAAATATGATGTAGATTATTTCTACCTAGTTGGTGTATGTAATAGATATTTCACACAGAATTTTGCTTTCCACTACTTTTTAATAGTCTAAAGTATTACAGAGTACTCTTAAATCATGTGTGTTCATTACAGAAGGGGAATTCTTTCCTAAAACCATCATGTTCAGGAAATAGGTAAGATTAATAAAATGGCTTGTTTTGCTTCATTTCCTTTTCAAGTGTGGCTCAGTGCAATAGTTCAGGTCATATAGCTATGCTGACTGGGCCCTCACTGGTGCAATCTTCCGTGTCTGAATCTGTGTTACACTCCTCACAGTGGCTGTTTGAGACTTTTCTCCTTAAGACCCCCAAACTGCACCTCCCCCTCTCTTTCTCAAGAGCATGCCTCTCCTCCTACTTTACTAAGGAAATAGAAGCCATCCCTCATGAACTCCCTTTTTTCCCTTTTTTTTAATACCTCAAAACCCTTTAACATTCTCTATTCTTTCCTCTTTTGCCCTACTGTCTGATGAAGAGGTAACTTTCCTTGATAAGGCCAACCCCTCTCTATTTGTGCTTTTGGTCTCATCCTCTTGTTTCTTTGATCATTTCCTGTCTGTCATCTTCAGCCTTTTATGTACTGTCTCCTTCCCTGCTGCCTATGAAGATTCCCTCCTCTCCCTATCTTTTAAAAAACCCTTCATTTGACCTGGCCATCCTCTCAAGCTATTGTCACATTTCTTTCCTTCCTTTCACAGTCAGACTGCTAGAAAAAGCCCTCTGTGCCTTCAATTCCTCACTTCTTACTCCTCATCCTCTTGCAGTCTGGCTTCTGAGCCCACTTCTCACTGAAATTGCCCTCTCCAAGGTTACCAATGATTTAATTGTTAAATATGATGACCTTTTTTCAGTTCTCATCTTTCTTGATTTCTCTCAAATATTTGACACTGTTGACCTCCCTTTCCTCCTCTTGGACACTTTCTCCCTTTCTCTCATGACAGTGAGTCTTCGTGGCTGGATCATATGTGTGCTATATTCTCCAATCCTCTGTCCTATGTGCTTTCTCTATACTATTTCAGTGATATAACTGGCTTCCAACCTCATCTCTCCCCTTACATAGATGCCATTTCAGACCCTCATCACTCTTGATTAACAGTAGCTTCATAATTGGACAGTGTGCTTTCAGTTTTCTTTCTCCAATCTCCACACAGCTCTCAAAATAATCTTGAAGTACAGATATGATCATGTCCCTCTCATGTTCAAGAATCTTTAGTTGCTCCCTTCTGCCTCTAGAATAGGATCATAGATATGGAACTGGAAGATCATTACTCTTCCTTAGCTTGAAGTCTTAGAAGTCTATCTTCAGTTTATTTTCCCAAATTTTTTTCTTATTACTTCTCATACATACGTTCCTGACACATTAGCTTGTTTTCTGTTCTCTAAATTCAACATTCCAACTCCCACCATTATACTTTTGTAAGACTGCCTTCCACATCTGAGGTACAATCTTTCCTTGCCTCCACCTCTTAGAATCCTTAGCTTATTTCAAGGTTCACATCCTACTGGGAAGTCATTTGTGACCACCAACCCCCATTGTTATTAGTGCTTTCTACTCAAATTATTACTTATCTCTGAAAATATTGTATCCTTCTATTTGAATGGAAACTCCTTGAGGGCAAAAACTGTTTTTGGTTTTCTTTGTATCCCCAACGAGTACACATAGAAGGCAGTTAATAAATACCTATTTAATTGTGGCCTATCTTTACTTCATTGATAAGTGTACATCAAGTAGTTTTCATTGAAAAGGAATGTTGCGTAGGAAAAAAAACACGGGAAGTCATTCTGTCTCTTCATTTGAACTCAGCAGTAAAGTCTGAAGGTAACGATTATGATGACAAATATGACAAGCTCTCATAGTGCCTTAAATTCTGTTAAATAATATCAGTGTTAAAGTAGACATCGTGACTCACATCTTTGTGAATAGAAACGCCATATGAAAAAACTACTTAGAATCTCAATCGCATCCTAATAAAATAATTCCAGATGTACAAATGAAAATCAAATACGTTCCCCTTTAATTTTTTTATACTTATGCACCTATTTTCACTTTATCTTCACAGTAACCTATGAAGTATACAGTATAAATATTATCTATATCCATATTTTAAAGCTAAGTAAAACATCTCTGAGAGGTCAGGTGCCTGCTGTGGGTCACAGCTTGTCCATGGTAGAAGAAGAATCTGAACCAGTCATATGACTCGAGTCCAGTCTTTTTTTTTTCATTATGTCAGGTTGCTCTGTAAGAACAGATGACCCTCAATAGAGTCATGGACCCTCTTTTCTCCTGTCTGTATACACTACATGACCTCATATTAAAACTTGAGGCAGCTAGGTAGTGCTAGGTCGCCCTCGAGTCAGGAGGACCTGAGTTCAGATCGAGCCTCAGACACTAGTTGTGAAACCTTAGGCTAGTCATTTTACCTCTGTCTCAGTTTCCTGAACTGTAAAATGAGGATCATAGTAACATCTACTTCCCAGAGTTCTCGTGGGGATCAAATGAGATATTTGTGATGCACTTAACACAATGCCTGACACATAATAGGCACTTAGGTATGTGTTCCCTTCCTCTCCAATGACTGATTTCAATCCATCAACAAGTATTTAAGTATCTACTATGCCAGAAGCCATCATAAGAGCTGGAGATACAAAAACAAAAATGAAAGTACCTGGCCTTCAGCTTACATCTAAGAGAGAGATGCACATATGTAGATGTATACACAATAAAGACAAGATTATTGGAGGGGCATTAGCAGGTTAGGGTATCAAGGAAGGTTCCGTATAAAAGGTGGTACTTATTCTAGTTATGAAGTAGACCAAGGGTGTTAAGAGGCAGAGGTGTGGATGAAAAATGCACCACAGGCATAAGGAACGTTCAGCGGGCAGATGGGAGGTAGAGTACTATGTATAAGGAACAGTAACAAGGCCAGTTTGGTTGTACTGTTAGTGTGCATTGAAGAGGAGGAGTAACTTAGCACAGCTGCAAAGGTAGATTGGGGTCCAGGTTGTGAGGAGTTTTAAATGCGAGTGGTTTTGGAAATTTTGAATTTAATGCGCCTAAGGAAAATTCAGTCCAAAATGTGCAGTTACAGAGCTAAAGGGAAGTAACGGGCTGGATAATAAATCTTGGGAATTATCGGTGTAGAGCTAATAAATCCATGTGAACTGATGAGGTCACCAAGAAGGAAAGTGTAGAGAAAGAAGTGGAAAAAATCCCAGGCCAGAGCCTTGACGTTCGATTCACGGTTAAAGGGTGGGATGCGGATGATTATCCAGCAAAGGAGATTGAGGGGCAGTCACCACATGGGTAGGAGGAAAACCAAGAGAAAGCAATGTCAGGAAAACTCAGAAAATAGTATCCATAGGAGAAGGTGATCAGTCCAGAGAGGTCAAGAAGAAGAACTGGGGAAAAAGTCATCACATCTGGAGAGATCGCTTGGTTAACTTTAAAGAGAGCAATTTCAGTTGTGTGATGAGGTCAGAAGCCAGATTGTACAGTGTTAAGTCATCAGAGGGAGTGGAGACAATGATTTAAATAGCTATTTCAAGGACAGCTATAGGATGATAGTTTAAGAGGATGGTAGGGTCTAAAGCAAGGGGTCTCAGCTGTTTGTCCTATGAACCCTTCTAGCAGTCTGTTGAAGCCTATGGACCTCTTCTCTAAACAATGTTTTTAAATGCATCAAGTACATAGGATTACAAAGGAAACCAATTAAATTGAAAAGGTTATCAGAATATTTAAAGGGAAAAAAGTTCACAGACCCTAGGTTAGGAACCTTGGGCTTTGGTGGGGCAGGGTTGTATGTGAGGGTTTTTAAGGAAGCTGAAATTGGATGTGTTTGTAGGCAGGAGGGTAGGAGTCAGTAGATGGAGACTGAAGATTGGAGAGGGAGTACGGTACAGTTTAGGTAGAAGTGTTGGCCTCCACAAAGACAAAAGCCACTTCATCAGAGACTAGTAAAGGAAGGGGGGGTGGGGATAATGCCAAGAGGTTGTGAGATGGAGAGAAGAGGGAGCTTGTGGTGAACTGTCTCTTAGGTCTCCAGGTATAGAGGGTGGAGAGAGCTTGAGGAGAGAAGGTTTAGAACAGCCACTGTGAGGAATGGGAAAGAGAATCAGTTAGGGAGGAATAAAAAGACTGATTGCCTTTGTGAGGGCCCAGTTGAAATTAGTGATCAGTCAGTCCCCAATGTGTGTGTGTGTTTGTAGACAGAGCCAGCCAGCCCTAATCTCTTTCCTGAACTCCAGTCCTGCATCTATCTAGCTGCCTGGTTGGG